TTTCTCATAGGATCCATCCCTAAACCCTTAACCATTGATCTTCTATATCCTTATTGGGACTGATGCAACACTCTTCTCATGTCTTGACTTTTGAATTCGCTATCACCCTCTATTGTTCAAAGCGTCATTTTCTTTGAAAATGCTGTTGATATCTAGAGTGATCTCAGGGAATGCTTCTCTCAGGGAGACTTACTTCTTGTGGCTGAGTTGTAGGAGGAAATTTACTCCCTGAAACAGGGAACCAACTTTGTTACTGATTACTACACCAACCTCAAATCCCTTTGGTAGGAACTACATAACTTTCATCCCCCGGTTCCTTGCTCTTGCTCAGTCAAAGCTTTTCACCAACAAGACTTCATCATTTGGTTTCTCAAAGGGTTCCACAAACATTTTTCCATGTTGAGATCGTAGATTCTTCTTGCCGATCCTCTTCCCTTTACAATTTGTCTCTTCTCTATGATCATTCAACATGAGAGACAACATACAGTGTCTACTTCCTTGATGTCAATCCCTTTGTCAATGTTGTCTCCGTCAAAATCCGTGGTGCTTCACTATCAAGTGGGGCCAAAACCACCATATTAAGGCAGAAGTGCGACCAATGCGGGTGCCTCAGACACACAGTCGATATTTATTATCAAAAGAATGACACCTCTGCCCCAAAATGCAACCATTGCGAACGCTTCAGACACACAATGGATGTTTGCTATGGAAAATATGGCTATCCTCCCGGTCATCCCAAGTACCCAGGCCAACCACGCCCCAACAACAAGAATCAACCTTTTGGTTCTGGAGGCACTATGAACAACGTTGCTGCTAAAGGGAATAGAACCCTAGCACATGAAAGAGATGACCACAAGGAAGCTTATGCGCATGGACTTGGGCTAAACATCATACAAGCACAATATCAACAATTGATGGCTCTTCTCTAACAAACTCTTGGATCTATTGGTGCGACCCTAGATGACAAGCCTGTTCAGGCCAACCTTTCCCCCTCTAATCTAAATTTCTTTTCTGATCCTATGTTTGGTGCCCCCTTCATTTTTTCTATTTGCACCTCACACACACACACACACACACATACTTAATACAACAAAATCACATACTGCACCATGGATTATTGACTTTGGAGTCACAAACCACATTGTTTGTTCATTGCATTATTTTCACATATATTCAAATATTAAACTTGTTAACATTAGCTTACCTAATGGCTCGATTGTTAAAGCCAAAATTTCTGGCAACGTTTATTTCTCACCCGATTTTGTGATACATATCGTGTTATATGTTCCTTATTTCACTTTCATTCTTTTGTCTATTTCAAAATTAATTTCCACATTTCAGTATGTCATAACCTTCTCTAAATATTCTTGTGAAATCCAACAAGTCAACACATCGAAGATGATCTGTTCAGCTAGACTAAAGTAGGGCTATATCATTTGGTAATTGACAAAGAATAACAACCATCTTCCAACCTACATTGCATTGCCAACAACATCAACATTATCAGCTCCAACCTTTGGCATTTTAGATTAGGACATTTGTCAGGAAACCATCTTAATATTTTACATGATCAATACCTCTTTATTTCTAAACATTTTAATGAAATGTGTGATGTTTGCTATTTAACAAAACAAAAAAAAATACCTAATTCTTTTAGTACAAATTGAGGCTCTAAATATTTGATTTAATTTACATGGATATTTGGGGACCTTTCTCTAAGACCTTGATTCATGGTCATAAATATTTTTTAACCATCCTTGATAATTATAGTCAATACACTTGGATTGTCTTGTTAAAATCAAGGCAGAAATAAAATCAAATATACAAAATTTGTGGCCTTGGTCAAAAATTAATTTGAAACCATAATCAAGTGTATCCGATCTGATAATGGGCTTGAATTTTTCCTAAGAGACTTTTTCTCTTCAAAAGGAATAATTCATTAAACAAGTTGTGTTTATACTCCTCAACAAAATAGAGGAATTGAAAGAAACATCAACATATTCTAAATGTTGCTAGGGCCCTTATGTTCTAATCAAATATTCCTGATAATTTTTTGTCCTATGCTGCCAAACATGTTGTTTTCTTAATCAATTGCATTCTCTCTCCCATTATTTTAAATAAAACACCTTTTGATCGTCTTTATAAATAGAAACTAGATTTCTCTATGCTCAAGGTTTTTTGTTGCATCTGGTTTGCATCAATAGATAATCATCATCACAAATTTTAAGCTAGATCTTGCAAAGGGGCGTATTTAGGTTTTTAAAATAATGTAAAAGGGTATGTGATACTAGATGTAAACACTAGACAAGTTTTTTATTTCCAGAAATGTCATATTTCATGAGATGCAGTTTCCTTTTTCCAAACCACCACCCTTTTCCATAAACCTATATGTTGACAGAATCTACTATATGCACCACCCTTAGCCCAAACCATTCCCACTTATCCTCATTATCCTGACTCAACATGGACGTCACACCTCCTCAAATTTATCAAATCCTTTCTCGCCTTTATCTCCTAACCTAAAAATTCCTATTTCTCCTAAACAACAACCTAGTCCTTCGACAACCTCATCTCCCTCCTTAGACGTGCCATCTCCCCATGAACAACATCCTCTATGACGATCAACCAGACCATCCACCCACCTATCTTGTTGATTACTAGTATGATCTCCTTTTCCAGAAATTTGCTCAATCATCTTCAACATGTTTATATCCGATCCAAGCCTTTCTCATTGACAATTGCATCTTTTCTTCTCATCGCCATTATCTTATGTCTTTGTCAAATCAAACCATGTAGTTACCATGAAACTGTCAAGCATCAACATTGAAGAAAAGCTATGAATTGTGAAATTGGGGCACTGATGATTCAGGATAGGAATAGGTCAGTCACTCGTCGAGGCCTATGGCCTAACCTATTTAAGGCCTAACTCAACATGTCTCTTTTATTAAGAAGGTCAAGCTTAGACTTTTGAAAAGACTTATTTAAATAAAGAAGTGAAGCTTATGCTTTAAAAAAAAAACCTTTTAGGCCTCTTAGGCCAATCCAATTAAATAATTATATTATTTTATAATTTAAATTTTTTTATTTATTTGTAACAATTTAATATAAATATAATTGTCCATAAAAATATTATATATATATATAAAATATGTAATGTATAATATAGTTTAATATTTATACTTTAATAATATAATAATTATAATTATACTATTAGAGTACTAATTAAAATTTACTGTAAAAAAATAATTAAAATTTTGTACATATTAGTATATATAACATAATTTAGTATTTACTCTATTATAATATAATAATTATAATTATATTATTAGAGTACTAAAATTAAAATTTATCATATAAAAAAACTATCAATTAAAACTTTATTTAATTTCTAAAATATCTCAATTCATTATTAGAATTCATTTTTTCTAATTCCTATTCTAGTCTTTTTAATTAAAATATATTTCAATTTCTTAACCCTAATATAATTCTTTAAAGTCATAATTGTATAAACTAAAAACAAAAGTTGTCGCCGTACCACTTTCCCTCTTTCCATCTTTTTTGTTACTGGGGATTGATATATGATATCTAAGAAGCTATTTATGTTTTTTTTTTTTGCTAAATACAATATTTAAATATAATTACTTATCATATATTTTTTATTTTATTAATAATAGGCTTTTCACCTTGCTAGCTCGTTGGTTATTAGATCATTGGCCTATTAGCTCGTTAAATTTAAATTGTTAGTATTATTTGAAAGCCTTAATGTTAAATAGGCTATTAGGGCATATCATACTTCTAAAATGGCTAGGTCAAGTCTAAAAATTTCAAGTCATAGGCTTAAGTTTATACTCTAGTTTTGTGTAGTAAGTCAGACCTATTTAATCTTAAGCCTAACTTTATTCAAATATATCTTTTTAAAAGTTTAAGCATGATCTTTTTAATAAACGAGTCGAGTTCAGTTAAACCTTAAATAGGCTAGGCCATGTGCTCGCGACAAATGACCCAGTCCATTCTCATAATAACCAACATTAAAGAGAAAGTTATAGTAAGAGATAAACTTCACATGCTTGAAAAATGGTGATATGCCCTTCCAGATCATCACAGGCCATTGTGATGACGTGAGTGACATAAAGAAGCAATGGAATTCCTACTAGTGTTAATGGAAGAAATTAATGTTAGATTTACTAAAACTATGTTTCAAGGCTCTCAATTTTAAGTTTCCTCTATGTTCTTGAAATGACAAATAGGAAACTCTTCTATTATGTGAACAAATTATAATTTGACTCATATATTGGTTTGATTGGTTAAATTGGGAGATGCTAAATTTTTCAATGGAATAAAACATCAGCAAGAGGTAATTAAAATTGGTTAAAACTAAATAAAAATTGGTATAGTAAAATAAAGCAAAATTGGTTCTTTTATTCCAATGATTTTTTCTTTACTATTAATTTGTTTAAAATTTCTTAGTCAAAAGTTCTTTTTAAATAAATAAATAAACTTAAATGCATAATATGTATATATAAATTATTTATTTAATTTTTTTTTGTAGGACATGAAATATGATATTTTTGTGCTGATTTAAAATGTTAGGTTCCTTTATTCTTTTATAAAAAAAAATTATTATATTATACAATTTTGAAAATATATTATTATTATTATTATTATTATTATTATTTTCAGTTCAATTATGATTTAACTAATGAATTAAGTTAGTGTCTTTATTATTTTAATGACCGATTTAATTTTAAAATATTGCTAACAAAAAAAATAAAGTTTTTATTTAATTTTTAATAGATGATTTAGTCTTAAATACTTTCTCAAAAATCAATAAGAATAATTTTAAACAATAGTAAAAAGGACTATATTACAAAACATTTTTAGAAATTTATTTAAATACAACTATTATTTCCTTAGAAATCGCTTGGTGTTGGGAAAATGTTAAGATATTTGAATTAAATAAAAGTGATATTTTTTTTAATGGAAAGGTTTAACATAAAGGGGAAGAGAGAGTTGATTGAAGAAGTGATAGTGAACAGCAAGGAGGAAAGAGAGTGAATGAAAGAGTGAGTAAATGGAGTCGGGTCCTCCGGCGAACGATCTGTGTTCAGTGTGTCATGGAAACTTTCACATTCCCTGCCAAGCCAATTGTTCCCACTGGTTTTGTGGTGCGTTTTCTCATTTTCATAAAAATCAATGTTTCGATTTTCAAAATACTTACAATGAACAAATTGAGAAACAGGGAATTGCATAGTGCTTGTGTGGCAGCATGGATCGGGGGTTCAACCATGCAAATGCCCTCTGTGTCGGCGTCCAATTACTCTTTTGGTTCCAAACGATGATTCCTTGAGACAACGTGACGATCCTGAAGTGGCTCAGATTCTCTCTAAGATTCACACTTACAATCGTTTCTTTGGTGGAAACCCAACGGGTCTCCTTCAGCGAATTCAAGATCTTCCTTTTCTGTTGCGAAGATTGCTTCGGGAATTCTCTGACCCTCGTAGATCCCTTCCTCTCGTTATCCGTGCTCGTGTCTATGTCGCTGTTAGTTCTTTTTTACCCTCCTTTTCCCTTCTATTTACATTCTCTTATGTTTATGTTCTTAATGTTTGAGAGACAAAGACACAACTTTTATCAAACGAAGATGCCCCTTCTTTGATCCTAGTAATCAACAACATGGGAGGTTCCGAATTCTTTTCCTTGTTTCATAATCATAGCGTAATCCTCTTTCTACAATGTTTAGCTCTTTTTTTGTGCACTAGCTTGCTCCTTGCTCTCAATTATTCATTATTTACTTTGATGATCTTTATACATATTTAGAATTTGAGGCCAATGTGCAAATCTTTGTTTCATTTGGTTTGTGTGTGACTCTTTAACAACAGCTGATTTAGGCACATGGTTTTTATTTTGCAATAAAGGAGCATTTGTTAAAACTTGTGAAAATAACTTATGGTTCACATAAGTTTTTTTTTAGTTTATATCTATAAGCTTGTAACATAACTTATCAGGATAAGCTCTTTTTAGATGTAAGTTTCATGATCAAAATTATACTATATACCCCCTTGTGATAAGAGCTTATTGAGTAAGTCTTAACTAAGGTGTTTACCCGAATACACTAATGCTCTTGATGAAAGAGTGAAATAGAGATGAACGAAATCGAAATGAAATAATGTAGTGTTTGGTTTGATAGTAATTAGTAATAAGAATGAAATAAATAGGATAGATTGAATGTTAATAAGTAAAGACTATTTTACCCTTACATCAATTAACTCATTCACACTCCATTTCACGGTGATGATAAAGCTGAAATTATTTTATGTGGGTCCCACTGAAATTTAAAAATTTCACTCATGCATTTCACTTCAACCAAACTTATGAAATGAGTTGAAATGCTGCAATTTCGTTGGTGCCTATTGCTGTTTTAGTGTAAACAAACAGCGTAAAGTATATGTTAGATGATGTCTTTTAGAGATACTACTGCAGAGCACGGGGCAGGGACAGGGATGGGGAAGTTTTCTTTTTTCTTTGCTGCTTGTGTTTTTCTTTTACATTAGGATACTTTTAAATGCCAAATTTATTGTAATTTCTTCTTTTTATCTTGATGAATTTACTCTTTTATATTAGTATATAAAGAAAAGGGTCATATAAGATATTGGTGCATCTATGAGCGTTGGTATTCACAGTCTCCTTTTATACAGATGATAATAAGTGCTATATATGTCTTCAGTCCTATTGACATCATTCCTGAAGGTAGGTGGTATAGTGCTTCTCAGATTTTTACATTTCTTTGAATGTATAATTTTAATATCTTAAGTAAGTCTTTTTGTCTTTCTTGTAGGAATATTAGGAATAGTTGGTCTCTTGGATGATCTCCTAATTGTGCTCATCTTCTTTCTGCATGTTGCTGCCCTTTATAGATCAGTACTTTACCTCCGTCATGGGGGTTCCTAAACTGAGATGATGCTCAAGTACCTGATATACCATTATGCTTTCATCTTCAAAATTGACATACTTTGTTTTGTACAATGTACATAGACCGATAGACGTTCATTTTCAAAATGTGAATTTAGTGATGGAAATTAGTAGTATACTGCAAACCGTCAATGAAAAAACTCTTAAAATTTATAAAATTTTGTGAAGCGCCTTAAAACAACTATTAAAAAACAAATTTCTCAAAACATACATGCTGCTGAGGCACCTAGTCATATTGTCATGATAAAGAATCACACGATTTGAACTTGGAAACCCAGCTGTGTATTCAATCTAAGAATATGAATAGAAAAGGGTCCACTGATAGAACACCAGCATTTCCCCTGACCCGTGAGCATTTTCACTTTTTAAGCCTTCTCTTCCTTCATTATGGCTTGCTAATATGCCCTTTTTGTCATTCGCACGAAGCCATTTTATTTTATTTTTCTTAAATTAATTGTTCATCTCTTGTGAGAATTTGGGCAGCTGCTGGCTGCTGGCATTCCGTGCATATAACATGGGATTAGTTGACTTTACCTTCTGATTATGACAACTGCGTCATTTTATAATGATACCTGGGTTTTCACATTGGTATTACTTAATCTCTCTAAATTCTATTTGAAATAAGAGGAGCATCCCTTATCATAAAGCTTTCTATTCAGCAAAAGGATAAATAAAGATAGTTGTATTTTTCTACAATTGTTATATATTATTGTCTCGTATAAATTCCAAGTTTTATTTATATTTATATTTAATAAAAGATATCTATTGACTAAAAAAATAAAGGAAAAATTCATGCATAATTTATTCACAATTTGGTAGGTTCAAGGATTGTATTATGCTTTCTTATTCTTCTAATGCATGGACAGCTCGCCTAGCCATCTGAAGTAAATTTAGAATTCGAAGTTTGACTAGGTGTTCCAATCAATGAATCATGCTATCATATGTTATACTCACTTGTCCAGTAAAATGTGAGCAATATATATATATATATATATATAATTTGATCCCTAAAAGTGTTATTTTATCTTTGGTCCTTAAAAATTGTACTTGTATATAATTTCGTCTGCGGATGTGTTAATTTACTCATATCTTGGTCTTTTCCTCACAAAAATGCATAGAATGAAAGTAAAATGTAAGCAAAATTAACATATTCAGAGACTAAATTGTACATTTCAACACTTTTAAGAACCAATTAATTCTCTCTAAGGACTAAAATGCGAATAAATTAACACATTCCATAATGAAATTATACAAAGCAAAACTTTCAAAAGTCATAAGTAAACGAAGTACCGCTTTCAGGGATCAATTGGTGTATTTACACAAATATGAGAATCCTTGACATCTTGAGCTGAACTCATGGTATGCGATACTTGTAAGCAATAGTACAACTTTATAGTTAATCCATGACAAAAATAAATAAATTTAAAAATTGTACGCTGACTGCTGAAGCCTAACATAATCCTTCTAATTTATCTTAAACCTTGGACTAACCATGTGATGATTGACAATTGCAAGATAGAGTTCATGACAATAATGTCATGAAAGTAACAATCTACAATTCAAAAATTTTCTCAAGAATATTTACATCATAGAAATAATGTATGTTTATACATTTGAAAACATTTTTCACAAACCAAATTGACATCACCGCACCAAAAAAAAAATCCTCCAAACACACCTGAATCATCTAGATACATGTTTACAAGAACAATACAAGATGCAGCATGGAGCACAATTAATTCCAAAGCAAAAAGCCCAGAACCACGCAATTCTTATGTCATTAACTTCACAAAATTCATATGGTTGCCTAGCATCTTTCAAAAATCTTGTACAGTTTCTCCAGGGCAGCGACCTGTAAAAAGTTTAAAAGAAAGGAGAAAATGAAAATGAGAAAAAAAAAAAAAAGATTGGTACTAGCAAAACTTTTACCTTCTCTAGATTAAATTATATGTTTAACCTCCCCACTTTACCAAGATAATGAATCAGTAATTTTTAGCTATTGGCTCATGCCACGGATAGGTTAAGAAAAATGATTAGATCAGCAATAAGGTTAAAGGCTCGCATTTAGCCTACACTTTGCCTCCCCTCACCCATTCTTATGACCTCCTTTGCGCAACCAGAAAGAGAGATCATATACAGTTGAGCAAATAATGCAGCGAGGACTTTGGCATACATAATGGAGAGAAAATATGGACGAGAAGATTTGCACGGAAAGGAAGGTAAGCTCCCAAGGGCTATCAATATATAATACTCCCTTTATTTCAAATTGATTGACATAAAACGTTTTTCACAAGTATTAAGAAAAGTAATAAATAACTTAATTAAAAAGATAATCTCACTAAATTATCCTTTTTATTTATTATTTAAAATTGACTCACACGTCTCAAATAATTTCATTCATTATTTATTTTGGACATAATTGGAATAAAAAATTCATTGCAATTTTGAAATATCACTTAATATGAAAAAAATATATATTTTGTTAAAACATTACTAAATTTGAAAGGGAATAATCAGAAAAATATATTACCTGAACAAAGGTTCCATCAGTAGCCATCCAAACAGGTGGTTTGAAAAATAGTCTCATGGAAGGAATAAGCACATGTTGTATTGACCATTCACGCTGGGTCCATGCTGTCTCAGCTTCAGAAAGCAGTTCTTGTTCAACTTTATTGTCGAGTACATCACTCCCTGAAGACAACTCACTTAGTGCACTTTGAAACTTAAGAACATCCAGCAAAAGCTTAAATAGAAGAACAACATTCAAATTCAAGTTTATTATATGGCACAATCCTAATGACATTTTTTTCTTAGTAACAATATCCATATAGTTTTCCCAATGGAGAGCCAATAAGTTTACGTGGTCATAACATATTAACACCCCTCTTGACATGGTAAAAGAAGTTGGAATCAAGTTGGATTTTTGGTTGAATCAAGGTGAACATTAAAATAACATGGTGTACTTCAAGCAAAAATATATGCAATTGGCTGAATACATGGTTGAACTAAAAGTAAGAAGCATGGCTATTTCTACTCCAAAATGATCAGCCCAAAGTAGCATCATGTGTCCCTTAAATTCTAATCCATGAATAAGTGAATCATGATATACTCTATTGTTGCACAAAGATTGGACTATTTTAAGCTCAGCTGTTGAGGGATCTCTATGATTACAATTACAACAATAGTTTAAACCCAGGGGAACACTCGTCAGGAAGGCCAGGGTTATGAGTCCTACATTGAGTAGAATAAGAAACTTAATGTGGTATTTAGATCGTGGAGTTCTCTTAGCTAATGGACTAGCCTTTTGAGTTGGGTTTTCCTTATGTACTAAAGTCATAACCGCTGGTACTTTTGGTAAGAGTTAAGCTATGGAAAGTGCCACCCATAGGGTTGAGTATAATGTTATGTGTCCCACATTGAGTATAATAAGAAGCTCAATGTGGTACTTTACTACTTAAGTCATGAGACTCCATGTAATGGACTAATATTTTTTGGGTTGGGCTCTCACGTGGTTGAGTCATAATAGGCAGCCAAAGTACCCTAAGGAAGCATTAGTCTCGCATCCAAAAGGATCTGGGGCTATATAAAATAGAGCATTGAACATTTAGCACATATTACATACTGTTACTCCTCATAAGACCCAAATGTCCTCTCCTTCATTTTACTTTACGAAAAACAATCACCCAAACTATTTAATCATGGAAGCCCTTGCTAATATGAAAACCACAAACTAGTCATTTGGAACTGCTAGTTGACTTGGATTGACATTGCCTCCATTATCAACAACCAAGGTTCCCAGCTGACATTGCATGCTTAAGTCATTACACACTCAAATTTCTCACTGAATTTGATATATAATAAACATGTCAAAACAATGATTAAATATCTGGGGTAAGATTTTTTAAGTTCTCTTAAAAAAAATATATTATCTCATCAAATTTTACATGAATATAGGCCACCGAGCTGGAAAATGTAAACCATCCTCCAGTAGTCAAAGGAAAAAGAATTCACGTCATTACAACATCCTTATTCAAACCTCTGAAATTTAATAAGCATAATTATTCTAAAAGAATTATCATAATCATGTCAAAAATAAATAGTGAAAGTAGGAAAAAATAAAAAGCCATTGGCAATAACAACTTTCCTTGCACGTGCATAATAAATAACTATTCCCAAAAAAATTGTGAAAAAGTAGGAGAAAAGTCTGAACAAGAGATACTGAATGTTTTGAAACAACCACCTACGGTTTGGTAGGTTCAGTGATACAACATTGGCGTCTAGGTTGAAAAGAAGAGCAATCATACTGTGTTCCTAACTTCTTTTTTGGTAAAATAAAAAAGCAGCATAGCTGCTCAATCTTAGATGCCCAGATGGCTGTCCAAAGAGAGCAGTGTATAGGGTATAAGAATCATCGATATAGACCGAGGCTCCTATATATGTACTGCATCTCTTCACACTGAATTCTACTAGTAAGCATAGTGTCTCTTGAATTTGAGATTGGCTTAACTTAACCTCAAAAGCTATCTCATAAGATGAGGATTACCTTATCCTTTATAACCTCTAGATTAGCCACATCAAGAGGAAACTAACTTTTATGCAAGAGCAAGAGACAGATGAAATTATGAGGTCAAGAGAGGAAGCAAAGTACTGTTATATAGCACAATAATTTGAAAACCTTAACAATAATAAAGGAAGCAAATGAATTTGACAGTAGCCATGTGAGACTGGTTCCCAAATCTTAACAACAATAATTTAAAAACTTCATTCATTTGGTCACCCTACAAACTTCATTGGGCAGATTTTTATTTTTCTTTACATTAGAAGTGAGCACATTACAGTGATGAGTATGAGTACATGTGTGGGTGTGAAGGATCCAGAAAGTAACAAGCAATCAAGCATTAAGTCCATACCAGTACCATCAGTAGGATTCTCTCCAGCATAGCTTTCCATCAGTTTTCTCTTCTTGTAAAATAGTAAGCCCTCACCAGATGGATTGGGCAACATCAGTGGATGCATAGCATAGAAATTTCCTAGAGCAGCTGAAATTGCTTGAATGCAATTCTTTTCATCTTCCCAATCAACCTATCATAAAATGCAAATCACAATCCTCCAACATGTACAACAATAATAACAACAAAGCCTTATCCCACTAGGTGAATCATTCAATATGTAAAGCGCCAAAAAAAAAAAAAAAAGATGGATAAACAAGATGGCACTTGCTCACAAAGTGTAATCAAGATATGCAAAATCTGCACACGTTATGACTGTATTAATCAAATTAGCACATAAACTGAATTCAGGCAACACAAAAACAGGTGACAATATTACCAATGAGTAAAATATATGCAGAAAAAGATATCACAGAGACATTTCCGCAGCAGAGAAAGAACAAAGAATTTATAACTAACATCATTGCCCAGACAAAGAGTAAACTCAGGGACACGATCCATGTCAGGAGTGTACTGGTCAAGTATCAGAGGAAGTCTAGAGATGTTTCCATGTTCATCAATATGAATGCCAAAATACTCATCCAGCATTTCAGCCTTTTCTTTCAGCAGTTCTGTGTTCATCTGGCGATAGCAAAAGAAATACCCATAAATGTCAAAAAGGAAGACTCAAAAGGAAACTGTCAAGGGAAAATAAGCATGTACAAGAAGCTAAATTTCTCACATTGACCAAACGAAAATTGCATTACTTTAAGTTCTTCACTCTAATTGAAAATCTTATAGAACCAGCGGAATCCTATGAAGCTGTTAAATATATGTAATTATAGTAATAGAAAAGTTTATTTTTGTAATTATATTAATTATGTAATTGAATATTCCATAAATATTTTGCAATTATTACTGTTAACAATATAAATATATGCTCTATTGTGTAGTTGAGACACTCGGATTCATCTACAAGTTCTCTCACTTTTCTCTTTTCAACATGGTATCTAGAGTCTAACAAGAGATTAACTTAAATATGTACATCTTCAGTGGACCCACTGCCCATTGGTGAAATTTTTTTACCAGAAACCAATTTCATCTCTAGTTTCCGGTCTTCTCTGCTACTGTTCACCGCCAGGCCACTCTTTTGAAAACCTTTCTGGCCTACAACCAAGCAATCTGAACTGCCTCTCTGTGTGCCACCTAATACAGCTGGACCCTCGTCAATCAAAGCTTTAGACGCGCCCTCATATGTTACAAAACTACAAAGCATCAAATCTGCACCGCTATTGTTGTCATGTGCAGCCGTTTCTTTGACCACCATTAGTGTTGAAAGTGTCACCATTCCCTTCTCCTTCTAGATCTGTGGTTGATTTTTGTTAAGATGTCCCACATTGGTTAGTAATAGAGCTAGAATGCTCCTTACAAGGGTTAGGATAGTTATTCTCCTATGAGCTTGCTTTTGAGAGTGAGTTAGGCTTAAATTTCTTAACATGGTATCAGAGCTTATTCAGTTTGAATGTTAGACTACTCAAAGATGTCCAGTTCTGCAAATTTCACACACCAGATGTCCAGTCCTGAGCATGAGGAGAAAGTGTTAAGATGTCTCACATTAGTTAAGAATAAAGCAAAAATACTTCTTACAAAGGCTAGGGTAGTCCTCCTCCTATGAGCTAGCTTTTGGGAGTGAGTTAAGCTTAAGTTTCATAACAGTTTTCTTGTTTTTGCTTCCTATAGCCATTGTTTCGTATTTTTGACATTATTCACATCAATGTTGTCAAGACAAGGTTCCTACTTAGGATCGGGAGGGGGGTAAAATATCGTAAATCATAAAATCGGAAGTTAGATCGTAAGAATCCTATCAAACATGTAAAACTATATTTGAACATATATATATAAGCATAGAAAATAACATAAATACAGAAATTAACCTCTAAATCACATAATTTAGTTAAACAAAAACTTAAAAGTCATAGACTTAAGATCCAATATAATGCATAATTAGTTAAACTAGCACAAATGGAAGACTCAAGAGTCGCAAGACAGAGCAAGGAGTAGAAAAATGGAAGTCGCAGCAAGACTGAAACAGGACAAAGTCCCCACAAACTGAAACAGCAGCAAAACAAAGAGCATAAAGCAAAGCAAAACAGAGCAGGCCACACACAGCACAAACCAAGTCACCTGAACCGCCCACACAGAAGCACACAATGCAACACGAACACGAAGATTGAAGCACCCACACACAGAGATCACAAAAAATGGTTTCAAAACAGAGAGAAGATGCAGGAAGTGTGATAAGTACTGAACAAAGAATAAAATTTTTATTAAGTCTTCTCTGAATATTCTCTGGAATTTCGAGAGTTCCAGCCTCTCCTTACAACATCTAATTTCTCCCAAGATGTCTTCCCTCCCTTTCTAACTAACCATTTATAGTACATGAAACAAACATATCGTTATACTAATACAGTTATGTTTGACAAATTCAAATCCACGACTGCTGTCCTATTCTTAGGCTTCCTCTGATAGACCTTCACTAAAGGTGGCTTACGCCTATCAATACCTGGCGCCAAAAGATTCACCTTGTCCTCAAGGTGGAAAGAAGGAAATCCCTCTTGCATCCTCGTCGCAGATTCCCAGCTGTTCTCGCAAGCAGGAAGGCCTTGCCATTGTACCAAAACTTCCACATCACCCGCAGTAGCTTCTCTAGCCTCCAAAACTTCTTCTGGAGAAACTCGTAATTCCTGATCTTCAGACAACATTTCCGGAAGTGGCTGTGACTGAACTAACGGACCCACCATTTTTTTTAACAACGAAACATGAAACACCGGATGAATCCTGCTAGTTGGAGGCAATTCCAACTTGTATGCCACCTTTCCTATTTTAGACAACACCTTGAATGGTCCATAAAAGCGAGAACTCAATTTTTCATTCACTCTCTTAGCCAAAGACCTTCGTCGATAAGGTTGAAGTTTCAAAAATACCCAATCACCCTCCTGTAGCTCCACATTTCTCCTATGTTTATTAGCATGTACCCGCATCACATCTTGGTCTTTAAGAAGATTTTCCCTTAATTCTCCCAACAGCTCATCACGGCTTTGCAGCAGCTGATTCACTTCTTCCATTCGAGAGGGAATCCCAGCCCCTCTTAAAAGCGTAGGAGGGTCAATCCCATATAAGGCTCAAAAGGGAGTCATCTTGCTAGATGCGTTATAGTTAGTGTTGAACCAAAATTCAGCCCAAGCCAAATACAAACTCCAGTTTTTGGGTCTTGTCCCCGTTAAACACTTCAAGTAAACTTCCACACTTCTATTAACCACTTCCGTTTGACCATCCGATTGTAGGTGGTAGACGGAGCTGAATTTCAGCTAGGTACCCACTGCCCAGAACAAATTTCTCCAAAAATTACTCATAAAAACCATATCCCTATCCGTGACAATAGAACTCGGGAAACCATGTAACTTCACAATTTCTTGTACAAAAATGGCTGCCACATCTCCAGCAGTGTAGGGATGACTCAGCGGCAAGAAATGGGCGTACTTCGTTAGTCTATCCACCACGACTAGAATTGTGTCCTTCCCTTTGGATTTTGGCAGCCCCCCCTACAAAATCCATGGATATATCTTTCCATACCACTGTGGGGATTGGCAATGGTTGTAATAATCCAGCTGGGGTTAGTGTAGAATACTTATTTTTCTGACACACATCACAGGCAGCCACAAACTCCTTTATATCACTTCTCATACCTTCCCAATAAACTACATTGGCAATTCGCTTGAATGTTCTAAAATAACTAGTGCGCCCTCCAATCAACGAAGAGTGAAATTTCTTTAAAATAATGAGAATTTTTGCAGAAGATTTAGGCAACACCAAACTGTTCTTATAGAACAGTTTCTGATCTTTCAGAACATACCCTTCATGAGAAGCTGGGTTCAGTAGTAAGTCCTGTATGATTCCCTTCAACTTAGTATCTTGTTGAATCTCCTCTAGCCATTCCTCCAAATCAGACATCTTTATAACCGAGATTGAAAAATAAGAGCTCCGTCGTGACATAGCATCAGCTGCTGTGTTATCTTTGCCTGGTTTATACTGCACTTCAAAATCATACCCAAATAACTTCGAAATCCAACGGAACTGTTCTTCTGCCCACAATCGTTGCTCAGTGAGAAATTTCAAACTTTTTTGGTCAGTCCTTATAATGAAATGACTTCCCAGCAAATAATGTCGCCACTTTTGCACAACTTTAACTACTGCCATCAACTCCCTCTCATACACAGACTTTTTTTTATTTCTTTCTGACCGGGCAGTGCTCCAAAAAGCAAGTGGCTTCCCATCTTGAAGCAAAACCGCACCAAAACCTGTTCCTGAAGCATCCGTTTCTAAAACAAATATTTTAGAAAAATCTGGAACAACCAACATGGGCAGTAAGGTCATGGCTTGCTTGAGTCTATTAAACGCCACTTGAGCTTCCTCACTCCACAAAACACTATCCTTCTTTAATAGCTGAGTCAATGCTCTAGCAATGAGACCATATTGCTGCACAAACCGCCTATAGTATCCCGTTAAACCTAAGAATCCCCGCAAGCTCTTCACATCTTTAGGCTGGGGCCAAAGCCACATAGATTCTATTTTGTTTGGATCAGCCGCTACAGTGCCCGCTGAAATAACATGGCCCAAGTATTCCAAAGTTGCTTGGCCCACAATGCATTTTTTTCCATTCACCTTTAACTCATTTTGCTGTAGAATTTCCAATACTGTAGCCAAATGTTGTGCATGCTCCTCGACATTCCTGCTATAGATTGGAATATCATCGAAAAATACCAACACATACTTCCTCAATAATGGTCTCAGCACTTCATTCATCAAAGCTTGAAAGGTTGATGGAGCATTTGTGAGCCCAAAAGGCATGACTACAAACTCATAGTGCCCCTCATGAGTTCTAAAGGCTGTCTTTTCAATATCCTCCTTTCTCATTCTGATTTGGTGATAACCGGATCTTAAATCCAGCTTTGAAAAAATTTCTGCATTACCCAATTCATCCAGCAATTCATCAATAACGGGAATAGGGAATTTATTAGGTATAGTCACCTTGTTAAGGGCCCTATAGTCCACACAAAACCTCCAATTTCCATCTTTTTTTTTTTCACCAAAATAATAGGACTAGCATAGGGACTCAAACTCGGTCTAATAATTCCAGCTACTAGCATCTCACCAACCATCTTCTCAATTTCAGTCTTTTGGTAATGAGGGTACCTATAGGGCCGGATGTTGGGAATAACAGCTCCCTCCTTAAGATGTATGGCATGATCCTGATTCCTTGTCGGAGGTAATGTCTTTGGAACCTCGAACAGCACAGCATATTGATGTAAAACTGCAGTTAACTCTGGAGGTAACTCTGCTGTAGGTTCCACAAACTGCTGAATCAACCGACACTCCAACAAAAAACCTTCCCCTTCTTGCTGTATAGTCTTAATCATAGAGTTCAGTGAAGTGTTGCGTTTAGTTAATTCCAGTTCCCCCTTCAAGGTGACCAGCTGCCCTTCCATCCTTGTTTTCAACGTTAATTGTTCAAAATTTGCTCTGATTTCTCCTAACCCAGCCAACCATTCCAGCCCCAAAACCATCTCTACTTCCCCTAATTCAAACAAATAAAAGTCTTGTTTGATAGGTACCCCTTATATCGTCATGGCAACCTTAGCACATTTACCTTTACACCGAACCTTATGCCCATCACCAACCTCTACCACATAGGAAGGTGTATTTTAAACGGGTAAATGAGCTCTACGAACCAATTCATGGGAAATGAAATTATGGGTAGCCCCACAGTCAATTAACACTATCACTCTCTCCTGACCCAGCTCACCCCACACCTTAAGGGATCTCTTGGAGGAGAATCCAGCAATACTATTCAAAGATAATTGTTTGAACTCTGCCCCTTTCTCCTCACCTTCTGAATTGTCCTCCTCACTCCCGTTCATACCCTCCTTCTCCTCCAACAACATCACTCTTAATTGTTTATTTTTACAGATGTGATTTGGCCCATATTTTTCATCACACCTAAAACACTCCCCCTTTCTTATTTTTTCTTGCATTTCCACATTAGACAGCCTTTTGAAATCACTTCCCCGTCTTCTAAATCCTGACCCACTTCCATTACTGCCAGCCGACGATGCAGCTGAAACAACTTCAGCATTTGTTCCTCCCACTCCCCGATTCTGGCCTGTATCCACCGTCACCGTACGGGAGAAAGAGGACGGTCTATATTGGCTCCCCTGCTTCCCTACGGCTCCCACTCCATTCTTCATTACTGCTGCATTCTTTTGATCGATCATCAAAGTTTCCTTCATCATTGATGTCAGATCCAGAGGTTCATACAATTTCACTTTTGCTCCAATTTCTTCTTTCAAGCCATTGACAAATATATCCATCAAATGTTCCTCTCCGACTCCCTTCAGCATACCTGCGAACTTTTCGAATTGAGAAACGAATTCCTCCACTGTACCTTCTTGCCTTAAAGCCAATAGAGCCGTGAAAGGGCTATGTACCATGGCAAGCTGAAATCTACCTATAATAGCTTCTTTAAACTCTTCCCAATTTTGTTGCGGATGACATGACTCCCACCATTGAAACCAACTTAGAGCTTTACCTTCAAGAGCTACCATGACCGCCTGAAGTTTCTCACCCTCCTCGGCCCCTTGCAAACGAAAATAGCGTTCCAATTTATTAACCCACCCAAACACATATTCTTCTCTCTCATACACCGGAATTTTCATCTTTTTCCATCGTTCACTCGCTCCGACAGGTCGCCCCCCTCCTGCCGCATCCGACCGAGTGTCATCTGCTCGTCGCACTGTTTCTTCCTCCGTCCGACGCGCTGCCTCATTTCTCGCGTCTTCTCCAGAACGATGAACCAAGGATTCCACCAACGCCTCCAGTCGTCAGAATCGTTCTTCTTCTCAATTTCGATCCTCTTCACGCTCGCGATTCCAAGCTTCCATATATTGCTCCAATCATTCGATTCTTGACTCCATTCTTGTAGTTCTTTTACTCATATACGATACCGATACCACAGCTTCCGGATGGAGCTCTGATACCAAATTGATAAGTACTGAACAAAGAATAGAATTTTTATTAAGTCTTCTCTGAATATTCTCTGGAATTTCGAGAGTTCTAGCCTCTCCTTACAACATCTAATTTCTCCCAAGATGCCTTCCCTCCCTTTCTAACTAACCATTTATAGTACATGAAACAAAAATACCGTTATACCAATACAGTTATGTTTGACAAATTCAAATCCACGGCTGCTGTCCTATTCTTGGGCTTCCTCTGATAGATCTTCACTAAAGGTGGCTTACGCCTATCAAAGTGGTTGCCGCATAAGACTAGGGTTCCAATAGTATATAAGCAGGTCAAAAATTAATGGGAAATGAATTATTTTTTAACCGGGTCATTATATTTGACCTGAACACAAGGATCAGATCTGATATAGATCCCATGATCTTACAGGAAAAGATAACAATTCCATGCAATCCTAGATGGCTTCACTCCTACTTGCAAATTAAGATCACTAAGGCTCACGAAGATCACAAGATCGTGCGATCTCACAATCATGATCATGATCTTGCTTCTACATTGTCCCATGTCCTAGGCAGCTTCATTTGCTCTTACGATTTCAATTGTGCTTTCAACTTCTGATCCTCCTACCACCTATACTAACTTTCTTCGATGGTATAAGGAGCATCAGACCTTTAATTCCACTGCCTTTGTTGCGTATACTGGTGATTCCTTCACCAATATCTCTCACTCTACTTCTCCTACCCATGAGTCCTTGATTCTAGGCTACCAATTTCATCTCCAGTTATATACTCTATTGCTTTTCGAAAAGGTATATGCTCTTTTGTAATCCCTCTCCTCATACATTGCTTTAACATATCATCATTTATCTCTTTTCCATTATACTTGTCTTTCCTCATTGTTTTATGTTTCTATTCCGAGATGTACAAATGATGCTCTTTTCCATCCCGGTTGACAACAAGTCATGGTCGATAAGATGTGTGCACTTTAGAGCAATGGTACTTGGGACTTTGTTTCTCTTCCTTGGAGAAAGTCTATTGCTTGATGCAAATGGATTTACACTGTGAAGTTTAACCCTGATCGCCATATTTATCGTCTTAAGGCTTGTATAGCTGCCAAAGGCTATACTTAGGATTTAGATTTAGATTATGGTGATACGTTCTCTCCTAAGCTAAAATGGCCTCCATCCATCTATTCTTATCCATGGTTGCAATTCGTTACTAACCCATTTATCAGCTTAATATAAAAAGTGTCTTTCTCCATGGTGATCTCATAGGAAAAGTATATATAGAACCTCTTGGATTTGTTGCTCAGGGAAAGTCTTCCAAATTAATCGTTCATCTATGAAAACTCTTGAACGGCCTTAAATAATCTCATAGGACACAGTTTAGTCACTTCGGTATTATAGTCTAAGAATTTGCAATGACACAAAAAGAAGTTGATCACTCAATTTTCCATGGCTATTATGTCTTTGGATACATTTATTTGATTATTTATGTCAATGCTATTACTGATAGTGTTCACCATGGTATTATGCAGATAAAGCAACATTTATGTCACCATATTCAAACAAAAGATCTTAACAAACTTCAATACTTTGTGAGAATAGAGATGACACAATCTAAGAATGACATTGTGATTTTTTTAAAAGGAAGTACGCATTGGATTTTCAAGAGAAAGCAAGATTAGTGAGTTCTAAGCCTATAGACACTCCTATAGATCCTAATTCAAAGCCTTTTTTCTGATCAAGAAAAGTATAGAAGCTTGTTGAGAAGCTAAACCATCTCACTGTCACTCATCCAGATATTTCTTTTGCAATCAGTGCGATAAGTCAATTTCTTTTAACTCCTGTTGTGAACAAAATTGGGATGAGTTAATTCAATTTCTAAAATACATCAAAGGAGTTTAAGGAAAAGAACTTTTGTATGAAAATAAGGGTCACTTCCACCAACAGCATTATCCTGGCTACTTCCAACTCTAGCAGCACCTAAACTCTCATTACCCTCCCTAGAAGCTCCTTTCCCACTCCATAGACTTATAAATAACTAAACAGATTAAAAGAGTCTAACCTAGCAGAGATCAGAAACTTGAATCTAGGGTCCAAAATAGTGTAGCAACTGAACCAAAGCAAGGAGTAGTTGAACTCACAAGAAAATGAACCAAGTATTCAACCTAGAAGCAAAAGAACTGAAGTGAATAGGGCCAAACTCAGCAGTAAAAAAACCAAGAAGGGGTCTAGAACTTGTGTGCATAAGAGCAAAAAAAAGGTGAAGAAAAGTGCCAAAATAATGAGTTGAAGTCTTTAGTCTTAGGCCAATTAAAAATGGGTCAAATTTGTTGGTTTTTTTCAAAAGAAATGAGTTTGAGTAGGTTTGGAAAAATTGTTCGATTCTACGATCGATCTTGTGAGATCTTACAATCCTACCAATTCTAGCAAAATAAATCAGAGTGTGTGATCGTGATTGCTGATGCATGAGAAAATCATAAAATTGTACAATCTTACCTGTAAAATCGCAATTTTAACTACCATGATATCCATGACTTTTCAACCAAACCAAATGCAAACAAGCTTCTCAATTTCTTTACAATTAATCTTCATAACATAAAAAAATCAAAGAATAACTTCCCCTAAACTCAGATTAAACAAAAGCTACAACTATCGAAGATATAAAAATCATAAAACTAGCAGTAATTTTAAGCCGGAGGGAGATTACTTCTGCAATCTTCTCTTTTAAGCCATCCTCATTATTACATTCTGAATCTGCATCTTCTTCCTTCAGTGCCAATATAATCAAGTCTTTCAAAGGGACTGGATCACTTAGCTGAATGGCATTGAAATGACCAAAGCGACTCAGAACTTGTTGATACATAAGCTCTTTGCTGCAGATGAAATAAGGATATGCTTTTAGAAAAAAAGCCTAAATAATTTTATATCTCTAACATGCTCCAAGATGAAAGAGTCCTTTGGGCCTACACCTGAGCAATGAACAGGGTAACATCCCCCAAAGTTTAATTTAATAATTTCTATTGCTTTGAAAAATTAATTCTCCTAATTGATTAGACCAGCACGAGAATGGTTTAAGATTCTATTTTCTTATGAAATTAAATTAATTATTACTTAACAGGAAACAATTTTTGTAATGTATGCTTGTAAGGTGGTTTGATTATGTGTAGAGAAGACCTTTAGAGGCACCGGTAAGGAGAATGAATTGCATGACTCTTAGTTTGATAAAAAGGGAGAAAGGGAGACCTAAAAAAGCCTTAGACGAAGTTCTTAAAAAAAACCTTTTCATTAACCAGATTTCTGAAAAGATGGTTTTTTTACCCAGTTCAATGGCTTCATGCGATCCATGTGACCAACCTCACCTAGTGGGAGTTGTTATTGTATGCTCAAGGGAAAATGAATGTGTATCCACACCATAAAGGACATGATACAAAATAATTACATACAGAAAAATATTGTGTGGATCTATTGAGGAGATGAAAAAATTGGTTAATGTAATTTGGACATGTGTAAAGAATGTCACTAAAGACACCAATACAGAGAGTTGGTCACATGATTTTTGGCATTGTGAAGAGGGGTAGACACAAGCCAAGAAAAACTTTTTGCACAATTGGAGATTCTATTTACAATTTGTGAAACAGGCGGTCTTATTTCTCAACATCTTGAGGCAGAGAATAGTGTGAAACTTGAGTTCCCCTCACAAACCAAACATATCAAAAATTTGTTGGGTGACTTCAATTTTTGTAGTAGCAAGGGACACAAGTAAGAATCTTCATAGGAATTGTGTTTACATGAATCAAGTACACTCCAAAGTGAATATGAAGTTATTCCTTTCTTGAATTCAAGCAAAGATTAGTGACTATGGTTTCAATCTTAAAAAGTTCAAGATATGATTTGTTTTTAAAGTTCATGGTAGCAATTTGCAAATTGTCCAGAGTTCAGAGAAACTAAGTGCACTTTTCCTTTTCTTAAGGAAAAATTCATTAAGACAAAGTGATGACTCAAGAATGTACATTCATATCATGTACACAAGACACATATTTGAAATTTGAAACTGATTAATCTCTATTATTTTGACGGCCCAACCATAAACATCATATGTAAGAAAAGATATTATACTTTTCAAGAACTCAAATTCCTCCTTAAGTCGCATTTCTAAAATGGATTGACAAAAACAGTTTATAGGCAGGTTTTTATGACAAATTTCTGCACCATCTCTTCCTCCTAACCATATTAATTAGCTGACTGTAAACCACAAAATGGTCAAATCTAAATGCAAAATTAGTAATCCAATCCCAATCACATATCCAGTTTTAATATTCATATGCTTTTCAAACATTATGACTTCTTATAACACTTATGTGTTAAAAGATTCCATAACAAACTAACAAAAACAAATTCTCTACCTCAAGTGTACAACATTTGCAAGATAAAGACGAGTATTATGCTGAAGCAAAGCGAAAACTTCATCTGCCATTCCAATATATGTGCTATGCCTTACAATGTCCATCATGCCTACAGGGTATATGTCAGTAGGAAATGTTTTCCAAGTCAACCTACGTCACAGAACAGTCATCATTATTAGAAGTCTAGAATCGTACCAGGGTCACAGTTTCTATTGATCTCATCAAGAAGTTCTTGAACACTAGTAAGTTCTGTAGAATCTTTTGGGTTCCTTCTTTGTCTAATTGAAGACCTGGCCAGGGACAAAGCAAATTAGCAATACATATATTTCAATCATTAAAAGGTGATTAACACTTGCATAGTTCTAACAGCCATATATAGTTGAAAAGAAATAAGAAGATTTCTCACTTGCTTAAGGCAATCCTCAGTACTATTGAGTATATGAAGAACACAATTTACATAGGAACAGGGAAATGAAGGAATACAAGAAAATGATTCAGAAATTATACAGATAGAGTCCTAATTATTAAAAGCAAATATGCAGGTTCTGCGTATAATATATCTCCCCTAAATAAGATATATTCATAAGCATCAAGTTCATTACAAATAAGGATAACAGGATTGAAGGAACTAAACATGCTGAAATAACTATGAAATTTTTACTTACTGAAGTTGACTTAAAATATGAGTATATGCTTGTTTGATACAAAAATGTACAAGAAGTAAATGGGTACCACCTCACTGCATTCAAACTAGAAATCTTTTCAAGATGTCTCTGAGACTTAATTTGTGCATAGGCATGTAATCTTCCTGCCGGATCTAATGAATCTGTTCTAACCAACTTATGTACTGGCACTTTTAGTGATCTTGAAGCTATCATCATAAAAGTTGTAAGATAAAACAAACAAAATGAGAATACAAGCCAAAAACAAACAAACGACACGTGTTAAAAGACAAGAAAACTTCCCATACCTGTTGGCATAGGGCTGAGGTTAACCTCCTTGCTTATATTAATTCGAGATAATGAAGCTTGCCCAGCTGTCTGCCACAAGCATGAGAAAAAAATAAGCAAGAAAATGCAGGTATTAAGTGACTATTATATAATAAAACATCAAAACAAAGCAGAATCGGCATTCAATTTGCAGGAATTGTTCAATTCTTAAAAATGAAGAGATATTTTAGAAATATTAAAACATGATACAACATATATTCATGAAATGTGAGTAACAAAACATAATAAAAGTTGAGGACAAGATACAAGAAGCCTTGTTTCAGATATTTGAGCAAATCCTTTAAAAAAAAACACTTCTAGTAAAGTACAGTATCATTTAAAGAAAGAATCAACCCAATTATATGTAAAACAAAGAAATGTTTTACAGAGTGGTACTCGACTTGACCATATGCAGGATTTATGTAAATTGCTAAAGGCTTGGAAAAATATAAATTTGAGCTATGGAGATCCAAGAACCTTGAAAACCATTTCTATATTGCGAGAAGCTGACTTTGGCCGGGCACAGCTCAACAATCCAGCTTGGACTGTTGCAGACCTACAAACCTGGTGCATCCCTGATCAAGGCCTCCCACACCAAGCCAGGGGAACATGGATAGGAATGTTGTGATTATCTTAAAGAATTCTAGATTTTTAGCTCTTTCTATTTCTAAAGGTAGGCTGATTTGTCCTGAAGAAGGTAATAAGACAGGTGAATTAGGAATGACCGAGTCAGACTGACAGTAAATGGAATTCCCAGTTATGGAACAGTAAAATTCCAGCAATGATCAAGATTGTGAGATAAAAAATCAGTAGATCAAACAACTCTGATTCTGACAATGATCTGGGAACTTGGATCCTCGAAATCTCAAGTATTTTGAAATCATGAAAAATGACTTGTGTCCAGAATACAGATGGTACAAAACTGAAAATGATGAAGGGAATCAGAATTAGGATAATGACAGCAAGTTAGATTACTAAAATGAAGGAGAAAAAACAGAAAGTCATTTATTTTTTTGTTTTTGATCGAACAAAATGGTGTTGTGTGATCCATATCATAGTAGTCAATCTTGGATATAATGGGTTAAGAAAAGTACCAAAATAAATGAGTTAAAGTCTTTAATCTAATGGGCCAATGAAAATTGGGTGAGATTTGTTGGCTTTTTCAAAAGAAATGAGTTCGAGCATGATCAGGAAAATCGTTCAATCCTACAATCTTACAATCCTAGCAAAACGAGTCAAAGAGTGTGATCGGGATCTCTGAGGCATGAGAAATCGTACAATCTTACATGTAAAATAGCAATTTTAACTACCATGTCAAAGATATTACGATAAATAATTACAATAAATCGTAATAATTGTGAGATATTTTCAATCCTGCTATCTAAAGAGTTATAATCAAAAGAAGCCTCGTGGATTTAATCATCTTCCCACAAATGTGTATCTGTCAATGTCGCAGATGCTACAATCACAATTCCACCCAGGATCAATGCCCCTAAAAAATGTGGTGCAATGATCTTCTAAGACCAAATGATGTCCACTCCCACACACCAATGCAAGTGTGGCAGAATTTGCATTTATTGACTACGTGGTAGCAATCTCCACTCCAACCATGACTTTAACAAATTCACTAACTATTCGGACAAACAAGGTATTAAAAAGTTGTAAAAGCCAATGTCATAAATAATATAAAAATGGCACTTCTGTAAATAGGAAAATTATGTAAATATAGTAATCATATAATTAGCATCATTCTTGGAAATTGTAGATAATGTATTTATTGGGTATTTATCGTGCTCTCAATATAAATAACTAGCTCTATTATGCATTGAGACACAGATTCATCCTATGCCCTTGTTTGTCTCATCTCTCTCAGCAGTCAATTTGCACATAGAAAAATTCATTCACCATCAATTTTCTAAAACAACACACTGTCACCAACTTTTCCTATCTATGAATTCAATTGAAGGAGCAAAAATATATACTCAAAATTACCCAGTACTTAAACCATAGGCTAAAAACATTAAGCATTGAGTATTATGTTGTAAATGTACTTGTTCATGAAATGTCCGTGCCTCATTGGAACTCCTCAATGCTGATTCAACCACTGACTGTATCTTCTCAATGATGATTTCCTGATTTAAAAGGCTAACCTGTATGCCAAAAAAAAAAATTTGTTTTTCAACAACAGAGAAGGAAATATTAGTCCATATAGTTTTAAAATTTGAACAAAATGCTGAAAAATGCTAACTACATAGTAGGATATAATGGTATTAGTTACTAGGGGGAGAACTTTTGATAGAGTTTTTAAAACAAAACTAAGAAAGAATTTTATTATGAACTGGAAATAATTGAGCCTGAGCTCTTACAGCAAACCAAAGCAGAAGGCAGAAGCTCCTAAGAGAAAACAGATTTTCTCTCTCAAAAACAAAAAGCAAAATGCATAACTAACTCCCACTATTCTCCCAAATTCCCTATATTCCCTACACCCCTAAACCAACATGCCAGCTCAGCATTCTCCTCACTCTCTCACCTTGCTAGTTTTATTTATATATCCTCACCTAACAGCTAACAGCTTAAACTTTTGAGATACTTGGCTCGTAACACCATCAAGATTTGATTTTCTTAACAAAAATCATCAATAATTCACCCAAAAGAAACTTAATTTATTCTTTCACCAATTTTATCTAGAACCCATACAACCCCAAAACTAATTTCACGAGCGATGTTTACAACAGCCAAATAGCCAAAAATATGACCATAATCTAAGACACTTCAACCCCAATTTCCTACCTTCAATAAGTCAATGACTTTAGCAATAATAATGACAAAGAATCACATGCACATGTATATTAATAATTAGGTTTGTACCTCTCTCTTTGTTGGATGCACATTGACATCAATATTCTCTGGTGGTAAAACAATTGAAATATATATAAAAGGTTTAGAAGCCTTGGGTAATGTCGCTGCATAAACAATTTCAATAGCTCTCTTCAATGCAGACCATTCAACCAGTCTATCTGAAGAACATAGATCAAAATATTTTAATGAGAATCTACAAATTATATATACACACACACACAGACAATTATTCATGAAAGAACACTTTGATTATTGTGAGACATGAGAACAATGAATGTAGACCATTGCATGGATGTAGAGCACACAATGAGGTGAGATAAAAAGACAGAGACGCAAAATGAGAAACAAAGAGAGAACATTTTTTTATATTTTATGAGCATTCAGGGGGAAAAGTATGTCATAAAACAAAAACATATGGCATTATAAACTATTAATGATAGATGCTTCATTTAGCAAAAATAACATCATAGTTCACGTTCATACAGTTAATGTATACCGTTGATGAAAAGCACCATAGTGATTTTCTTCGCAGCATAATTTGCATTGGACATGTAACCATGCATCTCAAAAACTGAAGAAGATGGATCATTGTCTGAAGCTTCAATTTCAATCAGATTGCGAGCAACTGAGACCCCATAGACGGATTTGATGGCATCTAGCCTTGAAGGTGTGGCAACTGTGTGAACATCTGCCCTAACAGCTCCATGCTGATCACAACAGAAGTCCCAAGCATCCAATGAAAAATAGTATACGTAACTTACAATGCAGCTCATAAAACCATTGTAGCAAAATAGTTTTAATTCTCAAGAGACCAACCTTTCTGCAAGAGAATCCAACATTCATATGATGAATAGCAAACCGGCTTACTAAGTCTACAATCTTTGAATAATCATCAGAAGAATTTTGTAGCGTCTTCCTCCGTGCAGCCATGTTATAGAATAGATTCTCAACCTAACAATGCGAGCACAAGTACATCAACTCATAATAATCATAACTCCAATTGGTTATTCAGAAGAATATAACAGTTCAGTTTGGAAAATCTAGCAATAGGGACATTAAGATCCTAATCAAACATTAACAAAAATATCGTCATTGCTAGCACATACATAGAGTATTAACAATATCAAACTTTAATGATGATATAATTAGTACAAACACAACTATTTACAATAAAAAGAAAAAAACAATTAGTTGAACAAACTACCATTATCTGCGTTCCTTTGACAGCAGCACATGGCCTTGGTTGGTGCTCCATGACACCATCTCTATAGGAAATCCTGTAACCGTGGAATTGGCCTTGGGTAATGGTAGTGACCGTAACGTGAGCGACATATGTCATGCTAGCGAGAGCCTCACCACGAAACCCCATGGACTTGATGCGCTGCAAGTCTTCAAACGCAGACAATTTGGATGTCGTGTGGCGCTCGCACAGTATGGGAAGGTCCTCAAACTGCATCAAAACGCAAGCATAGCAAGAAATGAGACATTGTGACACGAAATGAGATGAAAGAAAGTGAGTTGTTTCAAACTGACTCGGATTCCGTGGCCGTCGTCGGAGACTTGGATGAGTTTGAGGCCGCCGTCCTTGACGAGGATGTTGACGGAGGAGGAGGCGGCGTCGAGGCTGTTCTCGACGAGCTCCTTCACGGCGGAGACGGGGCGTTGGATGACCTCACCGGCGGCGATTCGGTTCACCACCGACTCACTCAGCCGCTGGATTTTCGGCGGCTCCAATCGGGACAAGGGTTCCTCCTCGCTCCCACTCCCTTCCATGCCCTTCGCTTCAATCTGCTACCCCTAACTCCTAAGTGAGTTTAGTTTATTTTGTTCATGCAATTCCCCCACTTCGCTCCCTTTTCTTTGCGCGGGTTTAATTTACAAACGGGAGAAACAACTCATTTTCTAGGAATTTAGTTTAGATATAACATTTGAAAATATTATGTAACGAAATATAAAATTTTAAAGATAATTATAAAAATTAAAAATATAGACAATTTTTAGTAAAATTAGTTCATCTTAAAAATCCTTATTTATATTTTTTGAATTTTAGAAAATTAAGTAATTTTATTAAAAATTGCAAATAAATTTTTTTATATTTTTTAAATTTTATATTTGTACTATATGTTATTTTTAAATTCCATTTTAAAAATCCCTTTTTATTTACTGTATTTTTTAGAAATACTTTAGAACAATATATGCAAGGGATTTGTAAGAATATTATTATTTATTTGTTAAAAAGCATATATTAACAAGTTATAGTATATTAAAAGAATAACGCGTTAACATATTTTATAAAAAAAAAATTAAGGTGATGTACAATAGTACATATAATTGCCAACATTAATTCTTTTTTTTTTATATAAAAAAGAGTATATTAAATCCTATTTAATGCAATTTTTAGTTTTAAAAAAATTATAAACCAAAACTTATTTTCAGTTTTAAATTTGTTTTTTCTTAAAATGCCAATACTCAAAATTAAACATGTTGAAAATTAAAGATGAGAATAAAAATATAAGATAAAAAATTTGGACAAACTAATTTTTTAAGACAAAAAATTTTAATATTGGTAAGAAAATCAAGTTAAACATTTTTCTGTATATTTATATTTATTTTATCATCATCCAATTAAAATTTTTCATTCAGTTCTTTCACTTAATCTAAATATTTTTTTATGTTTTCTAGATTATTTATTTGTTTTCGTTATTTCTGATGCAAAATATTAATATTATAATTTATTTTTTAAAAATTATTAAATGGTTGAAAAATAGAATATAAAGTAAGAATTTTTTTTATATTTTTATAATTTTTTACCTATAATATGTAGACGAAACAAACTTACATGGAAAAAATGATTAAATATTCTTGAATTATCTATGATATAATATGCTATGTTTTGTGAGCATCAGCTTTTTAGAATGCTTTTTTTTTTTTATTTTGACAAGAAATTAAACTATATTATAAATTTTGGATGTATTTGTTGTTAATATAAAAGTGTTTTAAGAACTTGAAAGCAAGTTTTAAAACACGTTGTTGCCGTTCGAAATCTTAACTGATCCGTACACCATTCAATCCTCAGACTAGACTGCAATTATGTTATTAAAATATAATTTTTGAAATTATTTTAAAACAAAATATTGTAATAAAAAAAATGATAAGAATATTTATTAGGGTGTGTGTGTAGCACAAAAAATAGGAAATTTGAAAGAAAGACAACGTTGAGTAGTTGGGCTTGGGAGAGTGGAGAACCCTAAGCCCAAACCTGAAAATGCAAAGAAAAATGCAAAACAAAGGACGGTGATAGTGGTTCTCTTTCTCAAACTCAAAACACTATATAGGTATGATTTATTCGCAGCTGCTACGCGAGGCGTGAGGCCTTTATTGGAGCCTCCTTATTTTCTTCTTCTTCAAGCCAAAGTTTTTGATACTCGTTTTCCAAATGGCAACGAGAAAGCTCATTCGTGATTTCTTACTCTCCAAGCGATCTTTTCTTCTTCTTCCTCACAACCAGGTTCCTTTTTTCTTTTATTTATCTCCCTCTCTGTTTTTCTTTTATTCTTTTTTGTATTTCAAAATGACATTTATTTATTGCCATGGACGACAGGGCTGGAGTAGGAGTACTAGGTTGTCTTGGGTTTCGGTGGACAGGCGTAGATACAGTGTCTTCAATGAGTTCTCTCAGAAGATTAAAGGCGAAGCTGTTAGGTATTTCACTCTCTCTCTCTAATTGAGTTGCATGTATAATAGCAATAGGATTATGAATGTACGTGATGATGCACAAGTTTCTTAACTAGAATCCACTCGGCTTGTGGATCTTTGTTCTTAGATTAGTTCCGTTTGTTATAAAGAATTCATCAATGCAGATTATGTAAACCTTTTCTTCTGCATAAGGTTTTTTAGTTGCCAGAATGTGCTAGCCTGTGCAGGACTCTAGTCGAGATTTATTCTTATGTAGTGTGTTTGGGTTGGATTATTTTTAGAGATTATTTCAATGTTTACTTATTTTGGAGTTTTATTATGATAAAGTCTAATTGATGCTTGTATACGGGTATTAAAAACAGATTTTAACATAATCTATTAATTTTTATACGCTAAAATTACCTGAAAGGGCAATAAGCACTTATAGCTGATGAATAGTTCCCTAGAGCAACCCTGTTTTCTTTCGCTGCAGTAAAGGGTATTATGGAGAAATGAAAAAAATGAGGATTGCATTCTCTTCAGAAACTATTTCAACCACTTCTTTTTTTTTTCATATTGTAAACAGGTTACAATCTTTGATTATAATCGTTACCAAACAGACGCTTAGTTTTAGCATAATTTACCAAAGCGCAGCAGTTCTTGTCTTTATGATGTTACATACAGTGTTTTTATCATAATCCAGTATTTTAGTTTTTGATAAGCTTAAGCAACTATTCACATATTAGGAAAGGAAAGAAAGATGTTAATTTAGTTTAGATGTTTGATTGAATCTAAAAAGGCAAGAAATGCCATTCTTGTGTTTCAACAAACCCGCCCAAAACTCTCATGTCTTAGAAAAATTGATCATAACTTTTGGTTATTCACCAAATTGAGCTTTTTTGGTGCACTATAGAAGTTATATCTTGAGCACCATAATTTGTGGGTTCAAGCAACATAGTTCAGCAAATTGTAACCTTTAAACATTAGCTGAATTTCACAGGTTCTTCTAGAAAATGTGAACATTAACAGAGCCAAGTTATCAAACTCAAATTTTAACCAATAAATCTCAAGCTTTGAACTCCATGTGTCTTGATTTAAAGAAAAACAGAACCTGGACATTGTATTGCGTCTTGATGTTTCACATAGTACCCAAAGTAGGGCCATATAATTATAATACTTGAATTCTTATTTTGGGCATCATAAATTGCACCAAGATAATAAATGGCATGGACCTACTTTGGATAAAACTTATCAAGATTTCACCAAGATAATGAATCAATTTTCTCTTACAAGATAAAATCAACATATGCATCCCACGTTTTCTAGAAGTTGTCTCATTGAACGTCTCTAAAAGCTTAGCTACATGATTTGATTTTAACTTTTGGGAGAAGTTTGTTTTATTTTTCCTCCTTATTTCTTCTCCTAGAAGTACTTATAGAGAAGCTTATCCAAACTGAGCCATCTTTAGGCTTCAAGCTCCAGAAGCCAAGCAAATGTTATTCCTTGTCTCTGATGTTGCAGAAACCAAGAATTCCAACAGTCTGTCAAGGAGCTGAAGGAAAAAACAGATGAGCTTAAAGGGGTAAAAGAAGAGCTGAAAGGAAGGTAAGCTTTCTACGTGGTGACCATGACAAAAAATTAAAATTTTATGTTACTGGTTAATAGGCTGAGGCATACCATTGTATGTCAAGGCCTGGCTCAACACATCAATGGAGGACCTGAAATGGTTAAATGGAAAATGCAGAACAAAGCAGAAAACTGGGCAGCTGTACAAACAAGTGGATGAAGTGTGGACAGAAGCTGAAGCTGCTGCGAAGAAGGTATAATCAAAGGTCATCTTCAATTTCTACTCTGTATCATTAGTGGATATTAATTATCAGAAAAAAAATCTCACTTCTGATGCTATATAGTCTTGTTGGAAAAAATGCTAAATAAACAACTGAGGTATACATCAAAGGAAAACTAGAGTACAAAGTCATTGGAGAGCATGTGTATTTTGTAGAAAAATCTAAAGTGACCTTGCACTAATCTAGATGCAAATTTAATAGTATAAAAATGTTTTCTTGTCTTGATTGGATATATTAGGGTATTTCTCTTTTAGTTTAGTCTATTTTGCACATGTATAATTTAATCTTATGATAGTTTAATGTTAGTTACGAGTTTCTATTAGTTAGGCTGTTGATAGTAACAGTTGTGCTACCTTGTCTCTATATAAATGAGATCTCTCTGTGCAATTGAATTGGGTATAATAAACAACCATTTTAAATTTCAGTTTCTCTCTCTCTCTTGTTATTATCTTTTCTGCCATGGAACCCTATCAGGGTAAAGAGCTGTGTGCCATTGATTGCTATTTAGGTTTAAGGTTTTGGGTTTAGCTGTGTGCCATTCTTCCCTTATTTGTTTGTGCAGCTAAACGGAATCATTATTAAACTTCTGGATGGGAACTTGGGATCTATACATCTATTTTGAATAAGCTGACATGTTTCCTGGAATTTAATTAGTGAATATACATTTTTCAGGTTTCTTACAATGTAAAAGAGAAGATTTCAGCTGCAACTGAGGAGGTCAGTTCATGATTTACAAATCTGCTAGTGAATGTGATTGACAATTGATAGGTTATTGATGTTGCTCATGTTAAATTAGGTGAAGGAAACTTTTGGAATAGGAAAGCAGGATTCTTCAGGTTCAACTGATTCTTCAACAAAACAAGATGCTGATACGAATGGAGGAAATCAGAAAACTCGTGAGGAAGAGCAAAGCCAGCAACCTGGGTCTAGTAATGATGCGGATTCATTGTTTGGAAAATTTAAATCAACTATTTCATCTCCAAATGTTTCTGCAGCCTTCCAAAAATTAAAGGATGCAAAGTTAGTTGACATAACCAAAAAAGGATATGACATGGTAAAAGAGGAGTTAAGTAGTACCCCGACTAAGAGAAAGCGTGCTTCTTTCACATCAAGCAGTGAAACAAGTACAAGAACAGAACTTGTTGTTATGCCATCTAAACAATCTTGGTGGAGTAAGAAGTTTGATGATTTCAGAGAAAAGGTAACTTAATTGTAGTTATTTTGTAATTGAAAGTCTAGAAAACCTCCCCATTGAGTTATCTTCTCTGCATTTTCATATAGGTGAAAGGCCATCCCGTATCCAAGCGATTCCTTAAGTATAGTGACCCTGTGAAGACAAAGGGACAGGAGGTATGTTCTACTACTGAGGTTCTCTAATTATGCATGTGCAACATGCCTCACTTGCATTCATAAATATTAGTGGCCTATCATCTGTCATAATTCATGATTGTTTTGTTGTTAGAGAAAATATGTTGCCCATTTAACTTCTGAATCATCTTTTGGTTGCTTGGTATTTTACATATCTATTGAAATTGACAGATAGTAGAGGACTTGCGGGAAAGATATGAAACCAGTGACAACCCCATTATTCATAAAATACAGGAGTATATCTTTGAGTTTCTCTTTACACTCATTCTTGTTCTTAAAATTTAGAATTACTCAATTACCAACTGTAATGCATGCTGCAATATTTATCTTGGTTATAGTCTAAATAGTGGTATTATATGATGCAAGTTTAAGAGCTAATTTACCACACATTTTTTACAGCATTAATGATAGTATGTTTCAAGAGACAGATGCTGCAATTTCTTACAAGGAAATACGTCAACGGGATCCGTAGGCTCTCATGCCTTTTGTTTTTATCGCACTCTTAACATTTTGTTATTATTTTAATTGCTAACATCTTTTTTCTTTTTCTTTTTTTTTTCTTAAATGAGTCAGTTATTTTTCATTACCCGAGTTTGTAGGGGAAGTACAGGAGGCAATAAAACCTGTGCTTAATGCTTACATCAAGGTTTGTCCTAAGTTTAAACAGGAATGATGAAAATGTGTTCTCTTTTATGTGCAATAATATTGTCATTTCTTTGAATTAGGCACATGTCTATGGGCAATACTTAGGTATAATGCTTCACCTATTAACATGAAATGGCGTTTTGAGCATTTGGATCTCGTAGATTTGAAGAGTGCAGTTGCAATCATTAGTTGAAACAGTAAAAGTTGGCTAATGAAGTGGAAGTTGAATTATGATGAGTTGTTAAACATTGTTATTTTTATAGCTTGTTGAATACAAAATTTGATAGCAATGGATAAAGCACTATGTCCAAGTTTTGCTCCAAATATATTGTTGACTGGTTTGGTGCTTATGTTATTTATGAATTGCTTTTTAATTATATACAGGGAGATGTTGAAACACTAAAGAAGTATTGTAGCCCTGAGCTGATTGAACGTTGTAAGGCAGAGCATAATGCTTACCAAAGTCATGGTATATTCTTTGATAATAAGGTGAAATAACTTTTTGAATCTTTTTAATGCTTTCCGTTATGTTTTTTGTTTTGAATTTGAAATTGATATAGCACCATTTCACATATTGAACATGTTGAAGTGTTTGATGTTATTTACCGCTCCCCCTCCCCCCCCCCCCCCCCTTTTTTACACACACAGAAAAGTGTTTTCATCTTAACTAAACTTGTTGAGTTCTTGCAGTAGATTTGATGTAGTTATGTGAAGAAATAAAGTTCATAAAGTGATATAAGTCAAATTTCCTTGATAGTTGAACCAAGACTTGATCTTGATCAACTTGGTAAACATAACACTGATAACATGGGTTCCATGTACAGAAGATATAATATAATTAGTTAATAGCTGTAGCTAAACATAGAGTGGGGATGTAGTTATTTTCTATAATTAGTTAACCAAATTCAATTGTATCATATGATCCATGTAGCTGACCTCATCCAATGAGATAATACTTGGTTGTTGCAATCCATCCAAATGGCTCATAACCATCAAAATTGGGTAATCCTGCCTGCACCCAATGCCCCTTATCCTCATTGTTTGTTTATAATTTGTCTTCTTGTTCTACCCTCTCATTTACTTTCAACTGCAGAGACTCCTTGCCCTACTCAAAATCCATTCCCTCCACCCATTGAAACATGAATTACTTAATCCTGACCAATGCAGCCCCATTACTTTTGAATGTCCAACATTTTGGAGTTCATCGATTCCAACCTCATTTCTGAAGTTCCAACCCTTGATTCCATACCTATGTCTAATCAGAATAGTAGGTAGAACCAATTTGTTAGGAACCTAAATTAAAAAATAGAGAAAATGGAAGAAAGATTGTATTTCTTGATTGATTGCAAATAACAGAACAAGAGAGGGAGAGTTACTTGCTCTTTGTTCTACATTAAAAAGTTTATAAAAATATTCCTCTCATTGGTCTTTGATATCTTGGTTTGAAACTAAAACTTTTCCCTCTTCATCCTTAATGCATCTAATTTGGTTCAAATCTTTAAATTTTCTTTTTTTTTTAATTTTTGGCAAGTTCATAAATCCTCCTTTCCCCATACTTTCTTCCAAGATCTTGATAGCACCCTTCAAAAGTCTAAGAACAATGGTACTTAAATCGAGATGCAAATTGTGAATTAGAAGATCTATTTTATGAATCGTGAATCGAATCGTATTGTGAATCATAATATTTATGACCGAAGAAATAGAGGTAGAAAAGAGAACTCAGTACCCCTCCCCTGACACTGATGCAGAGGAAGCAGCAATACAACTGAACCAGGTCATGTGCCGTGCTCAAGAATCCCGATTCAGCACTAATCCGTGCGATTCAGGCGATTCAAGCTGCGATTTGTATCTTTCAGTTTCAGAACTGCATCGAATCGCATATACCAAATCACGAATTGTGCAATACTAACTACCATGCTTAGAACATGTTTCACTCATTGCTTTTCACAACTTTTCTTGCCTTCTGATACCTTATGCAATTTTCAACGTTATTACATGTATGCAAAGTTTTAAAACACATCATCTTCTCTCTAATATTTTCTTGCACACTTTCATTCCACCACCAATTTCAAAGTGTTCATAATCTTAAAATCATAAGATATTAAGAAATCAAGGATAGATCGTCTTTTCTCATTTAACTCTCCAAAACCACCATGTGCTGTTGCAAATTGTCTTGCTTCACAGCCATGTCCATTAAAGTCCCCACTTAACTTTGCTTTCGAATGGATTTTCAAGCCAACTTGTGGGAGTTAATTGTGCAAATGAAATATAAATGGCAGATTTTAGAAGGCTGGATTATAGTTGTAGTCATAAATGATGCAATTGTTTTTTTTTCTTAATTTATCTTAATTAAGCCAGTATGACAACCTCTTGTGACTCTTGCACAATTATTTCTACGGCAAAGCTTGATTATGGTGCTTGTACATATTAGGATGCATAATTTTGTTAAATATTTAACTCTCCATGTAGATTCTCCATGTATCCGAGGTGGATGTAAGAGAGACCAAGATGATGGGTTCATCTCCAGTAATTATTGTAATGGTATGGAAGTTATTACTTCTTGTAGTTCATTGCTAATTTACAAAATTTATTTTTCTGCAGTTTGAAATGAAAACTTACCCAAATGGTTTTGTTCAATGAATATTCAGTTTCAAACACAGCAAATCTATTGTGTACGTGATAGGAATGGGTCAATTACTGAAGGAGGCAAGGTGAATGCTGTTTCTTAGCGGTTTACATATTTCAATAGCTACAATGTGCAAATTCATTTAGTTTTCATAAAGTGAATGCACCTTGCTTATCTGATTCTAATTATTTGTACAACTAAAATTAGGTTATAATGTTGTTTGTTTTTTTCTGCCAGGATACAATCCACATTGTAGTCTATTTTTGGGCTTTACAACAAATGGATCAAGAAGATCGTGGAGAAGAGGGTATTTACCTAATGTGGAGACTCAGAGAGATGCAACAGCAAGGCTGCCAAGCCCTCATCTAGTGTTTCACACGATTGCCTTTTCAGGGATTTGTATAATTGACCCTTAATATTCTATATACTATATTTACGGATTTAATCTCCTGGGGCCGAGTTTTTATTCCGGTGATACATTATTTATTTTAATACTAATTAGAAAAATAATGTGTACTTTTGAGTTCATTGATGTATGTTAGATGTGGTAGGCGACATTTTTACTCTGCTCTCAAGCCAGAAGTGGCAAATTGTTAATATAGGGAGGACGAGTTGTTTGTTCATAATAAATACTATCGTCCGTTTTCCCCCCATTAAGTCTTTAAGTGCGGTGGACAATTTTTTTCTTTGCTCAACAAAAGCTTTGTGCCCTTCTCAAATCTTTCCTAAGGTATATAGTACGGTGCAAGTTTAGAAACTAGTTTTAAACAAAATAATTGTTTATTTTAATTGTTTTTATAAAGCTTATAAAAATAATCTTTTCAAAATAATATACACCTAATTCCTGCAGATTGATGTGTCTGCAATTGAACTAGACACTGAACGATTGATGATTAAATATTCTTTTTTAATCACTTAAACAGTTCTTAATTTTTTTTTAAAAACAACTTTTCAAACCAAAACTAAGATGCATTCAAACATGTCCTCAAAACTTGAGAATAACGTGATAGAGTAATTAGGGGATTGAGCTATTCTAAAACAAGGTGTGTAAAGTGAGAATTTATTTGCTGTTGATATAAAAGAACTATGATTGAAGGCTCTCTCACTTTACATGTTGACTCACTTGACTTCCAGAAAACCCAAATACCTACCTAGGTATTCTTTAAAACTGTTCTGTTCTTTACGGAAAGAAAAAACTAGTTTGCTGAGACATTTAATGAGAAAATATTCTTGAAGTTCATTTTTCTAGCAAAATTTGTTTTATCCTATTTGTATTTCACTTTACAAACAAAACTTTGCAATTGTACCCTTATTTCAAGTCAATCATGGGATAAGTCCGGAGTTCATTTTTCTAAAATTTAATTGATCGACTCCAATGGACCCGGTATAATTCGATTTCCTATTCATGTAATTTGTCTGTGACTTCAATTTTGCCACAAATTGTTTGATAGAATGTCAAAATCAAAAGCTTATTAATCTGTATGCCCGTAAATTTTGTCTACGTTGTCTTTTATTGTTTAGTTGAATTTCATGTGAATATACATAATTTTTTGCATTCTAGAGTTTGTATCCTTTTAATTCAACATCTTGCTATGATTTGCATAGTCCTAAAGAAAAAGAGGATTTGCTTCAAAATAGGTGTGTTGAAAGTGTAAAATATATTGCATGGGATATTAACGAGTACAAATTGGGTAACGTGTTTAAATGTAAAATATATAATGTATAAGAAACCCTGGCACGGAATGGACTCGATGGCCTGTATCTTTTATAAGTTAATCTCAACATTATAAACAATGACAAGTCTTTGTTAATTAAGTACAATTTGTATCATGACAAACATATGAACAAATGACTTATCACTCACCAACGAGATTTTGTGACTATGACCTCGTTATCTACTATTTTATCAAACATTCCTTACCTTCGTCTTTCCTTCGGAGTGTGGATGGAGGGCCTTCTTTGGACTTGAAGGAACACTAGAGAATTTATGAACCAGAATTTTGAAGCATGGTAAAAGTACTATATATAGAGCTCCCAAAATAAAAGGTGATGCAACCAGCCACCCTATTAACTGCAAAAGTTTGATAAATTAGTAATTTTCAAAAGGGATCATCAGACAAAATGAATCAAGAATAAAAGCATTTGTGTGAACTAGAAAAATGACGTAATTCAAGCAAGCTAGTGAAACAAAATACGACATAATTTTAGAAATTATTAAGCATAAATTTGAGACATCGGTACAATTTTGATAGCCATGAAACCAAAAGCAGCAAGATTTTATGCATTCCTTAAGTGACAACACCTCAATCCTATACATCATACTTGATTAATAATGTTATTATAAACCCAAACAACCATCTACCAGAGGTAAAGTAGATCCATTAGGTTCTGTAATATAGATGAGCTTTGATTTCAGAATGAAACTGTTCGATGGTGTTACGAACATCTTAACATTGTATTTCATTGTAAACGATTATCATTATATTTCCAAGCTACCAAAGGATTCTGCTAACATGTAACCACACCATTTATTCTCACCTTGATTAATCCCTAAATTGTCAATGATAAGTGGCCAATATAGGTCAATAGTTTGTAGTCATTGAAAATTACTAACATTGTTCTTGCCAACTAATTCGTAACATTTAAAACACAAAATAATACTTGTATAAGCATATAATGAAATGCCCAATCCTACAAAAGGAAACTACACTTCTCATCAGAAAAACCCACGCAATAAAACCACCAGGAAGTAAAATTTAATTTATCTAATATAACATCTTTATAATCCTAACCCTACACAATTATAATTCATAAGATTTTCAGACTATTACAACCAGCCTGAGATCAAAGTAAACCAAAATAGATGATAATGATTTCAAAGTTGTGCCTTTTGTTGCCTGCATCGCAACTTCAGTATGCCTACAAATTTTCAGTATGAAAAGTGAATTATAATATTGTTTACTAAGAAAATCCAAAATGACCAACCATAGCACATCTTGATTCCACTTGAACACCCATTGACAATGAAACAAAAACCTAGCTAACTCCTTTCTCAGTGTGCCCAGAGTCCCAAACTCTCCACCACCTATCCTGTGTTTCCTCAACTCCTCTGTCATCCGAAGAATTCAAGAAAGCAACAAACAAACAAACCAATGTACTTGGTGTATATATCTTATGTACATCGAAGTACAAAAGACTGAAGGTACAATAAATTAGATGCAAAAATGAAAAGCATAACATATAATTAGTTTACAAAATTCAGGATCAAGTTCCAAATTAGATGAGGATATACTCTGTCTCTTGTGTTAGAGAAAAATATACAACTAAAAAGATGTGTATCATGAGTCAATCTAGCAGAGTCATTGTTGAGGCAATTTACTAAAATTTCGAATTAAAAAATAAGAAAGTCACTGCTATCTGATTAACTACTTATAATAAAGAAGTTGTGAAATAGGTTAATGTACCGTTTTAATGCCATCCTCCAATCTAAGAAAAGTAGAGAAAAAGCTAGTGGCCAAACTTCAACTAATGAAAAATGGAAATTTTGCAAAAAGAAGAAATGGATGTATTGATTTAGTTTTTACATATGTATCTATATAAACAGAACTATCAATTGATAATCGGACAAATACACAAATCTATTATGTTATGGTGAAACCTACCGCATGGGCAACACTTAATATGACTTCACGTGAAGCTTGACCAATAAGAACTTTCTTTATAGCATCAGATGTTAAAGGGAAATGAGATCCACCAGAAATAACTTCCCCAAAGCGTAAAAATGGTACAACAAGACTGAAATACCGAATAAATCTTAAATTAGCAATATCAATGTAACTCATGAGAATAAATCAATACAGAAATACATATATATAACAATTGATCATGAAACAAAACATCACTGATTTGGGAATAAAAGAAAGAACCTACATGTCCAGCACATGATGATGTGGGGGCAGGAAAAGACATATGAGCATAATTTAATAAGTCTGTGTTGTTCCATTGTTTTTAAGGGTTTCCAATGCATTTATTTCTTCACAATACAATTTTAATACAAAATATATTTCTTATTAAGAACCCTTTCTCTGAAAGTCAACATTTTTCCATATAAAATATGTTTTACACCATGTATATAGTGCTATCTTCCTTAACTCTCAAGTCCTAGGATGCAAAATTAGCTATGTGGCATTTCAAAAGGTAAGCGTCGTTACATGAATCAAATGATGCCATTGGCCTCTATCAAAAACAATTTTCAATAGAACATGAGAACATGAGAACATGATGTTTTTAGTAGGTTTATCATTGAGTTTTCTTAGGTTTGCCTAATTGAACTATTTACCATTAGATTGACTTATCATTAGAGCCTTTATACCTCATAGGGAACATATAGATTTGAAAATATATGTTTTCCATGAAATATTCAAGAGAAAAAAACCCTTCTGACAAAATTTATACTCACTAAGTTGTTTGCAATATATTTGCTTAAAATATCTTGATTGTAACATGATCAACAAAATACAAGAGCAATAATTTACATATAAAGATGAAAAATGGACATGAAAAGATAGCAATGAATGCATATTACCTCAACTCTATTGGAGTAGCAATAAAGTTTGCAAGCATCACAGTTGGAGCATGGCAAAATGATCCAAGCAATGCAATGGCCATCCCGCATAGGAATACCGTGACCCCTATTTGAAAAACATTAGCTTGTAGCCAATTATAGAAGAATTGCAACATTTCATGTTATTGTACTTTCTATGACATCTACTTAACAGCATATTGAATCAGTTTAATTTAATTTAATATGTAGCTGCTTCTCAATCTTGAAATCAGATATGGTTTTGAGATTTAGTCAAATCTGCATTTTCCATGAGCTGCATCCCAAGGGTTAACGGAAGTGCATATTTAGAAATTATAACTTTATAAATTGATTATACTAAAAGATGAACAATTAAGATTTTAGTTGGAAAACATTTTAAAATATTCTGACAGAAAATCAGTAGTAGCCTAGTAGGTAATTTTCATTTTAGGAAAAAGACTAACCTGCTAAACCCAACCAAATTAATGACAATGGTAGTTGATTCTCAAATTATCAACATACAAAATGCCTCCTTTACCAAGTGCACTGATCATTTCAAATAACTAAAGTAAAATTAACCATTATTTTATATTACGTTAACCAATATAATGTCCAATCTCTTTTCGATGATGCTGCAAACAAAAGCTCGTATGTAGTAACAGCAAGACACAACTTTGTGTTGTCTTTGTTGCATAGTTATCAATAGCGGCCATAGCGGCCGCTATTGCGGCGTAGCAGAGCGGAGCAGCGCAGTTCTGCTATGGCAACCCTGTAGCGTCGCGGTTCAATGTCGCGGCTGTCGCGCCGCGAATAACGGCCGGAAATCGTGGCTATAGCGGCCGCTATTCTGTTCTGTTTAAAAATTCTGAATATGCCTTTTGTTTTTTTAATATTGGGGGCTTTTAAGGGGGAGCAATATTGGGATTTCAGCCCCCTTTTATTTTCTGAATCTTCTCCCTCCCTCTCGCAGACCGTAACCCCTCAACTCACCATTCAACTTCTCCTCAGCTCTCCTCTCATTTCTCCTTTCATTTCTTCTCTTTTCTCTCTGTTTTTTCTATTTCTTTCTCTGTTTTGATTCCCCTACTTTGTTCTGTTTCAAATTTCAAAGCTTCAAGTAAAAGCAATGGCTGCTCCTGCACCCTTTGCTTTTTGTTATTTATTTCCTTCTCTAATTTGAGTTTTCTTTTTTTGTTTTGTTCCAAATTTGTATATTAATTTTATATTTTTCAGCATGTATGTGTGTGCATTAAAACTTCAGAATAGTGGTCATCTCGCTACTGATATCTCCGCTATAGCGTTTTTGAGGTTAGTCGCTCCGCGTCGCTATCTGGGATTGACTACTATGCTTTGTTGTCAACATCAATGGTCATTAACATGTTATATTTGGTCAAATTATATTAACAATTTATTGATTTCTTCTCAGTTTGATTAATACACTGGGATATTATATATTGGTTGGCATGATATATACAAATAATTATTTTATTTTGATTAATCAGAATCACTAATGCACTTGTTAAGGAAAGGTATTTATGAACCAAATGGCTCTTCATGATGAATATCTAGTCTCCACCTGTCAATTGAAATTATGCTGACTTCCAGTCCCAAGAATCAAATATTCCATGTTGCTGACCAAGTTGGCTATTTCCCCTTTTATTTGTCACTAATTCAAATGTTGATGTAGAATGAAGTTTCTCCTTAGTTAGTTCTATAGCTAAATATTGAATGCCATCTCCTCTCTGATGCCTACTGGATTAGAAAATAACTACCTAATCACATGTCAGAAGTCATTTTTCTTGTTTACAGTATATAATTGATGCTTTATGTAAATAACACTTGACATTTGTCTTAAAAAAAGAATATTTTAAAATTCAGAACTGTTCACAATTTCTTCAACACTTCATTCCACTCAAATACATGTATGGGAAAATGAATATATGCCTATTTTAGTCCTTAAAATTATAAATGTCGACCAATTTAGTCCTTAACTTCATAAAAATTTCTCTTTAGTCCTTAATGTTTTAAAAATCACTCATATAAGTTATTTTTTTCTTCATGTTTTGTTGTTGTTTTATATCAAAAAGGACTAAAATGAATGTCATTTTATAATGTCAAGCATTAAAATGAGATTTTTGGAAAATTAGGGACTAAAATGATTGACAATTACAATTTGAGGGACTAAATGGGTATTTTACAGGGAAAAGTGGTCTACCCTCTTTACTAGTATATCGCATATTAAATCAATTGAAATTTGTAAAGTGACAAACCAAGAATGTTGGACAACCAACAGTATCTTCATTAATTACAAACCTACAAGTAATAAGATCCCAGTTCTAATAGTAAAATTCCAAGTTCACAACTCTCAACATGATGAAGACTGTTCACTAAAATAAATAAATCCCCGTTTTCATTGAGTAAAAGTTTATTTCAACATAAATACTTCAAGGTGGGTTAACTACAACATACCACATATGGGAAATACTCCCAGTGTAATACCAAGAGCAGCAGAGAAAGCCAACTGCTTTGGCTCAGCTCCTCTGAAAAAAAGCACCAAAATTATCTAACTACAGCAGTCTTCAGAAGCCTAATTGTCATCACAAATAATAAATAGATAAATATTTTCCAAATGAAAAACTTGACAATTTCGGTTCCCTAAAAATATTTGATATTTCATTCTTCAACATAAAATACATATTCACATGGCTTTACAAAAGATAAAGAAAAAGAATAAAATTACAGATAAACAAGCTTGTCTTAACACAACCAAACATCAATAGATCAGTCATAAAATTTAAAAAAAAAAACATGTGCAGGAAATTAAAGTTCAAGTCCTAATTTGTTCTAATCAGGGAATAATTGAAGTGAAGAAAAAAATTTAACATTTTACAAAATTCAGACATTTGAAACGTATTAGAATCCAGAAACATATCATATAATCATATATAACCATTGGATTGGAAAATCAAATTAGAAAAAAAAAAAGAAACCGCACATGAATCGCATAACGGCCAGCAATAACGGCCAGCAATGATTGACAACAAATGAATAATATATCAGAGGTGAAAAAGGTTAAATTGAAGAGTACCTGCGAACAATGGAGAGGAGGGGATCAGTGATCTTCTTTTGGAGCCAATTGGTTATTCTGATTTTCCCAGTGGCCATCTTCGTACAGAGTTTCCAATTTTGATTTCGAAATGATATCAAATCTTCCCAAACAAGAGAATCAGGGTTACTCTCTTGCCACAAGAAACCCTAGCTCATCCAATCCAAGTAAAATAAAAAAAATTAATTGTAAATCTTTTGTAGGATTTTGATTATTGCAATTGCAAGTGTGAATGAATTGCAAAGAAAAACGTCTCAGATATCTATTCTATCTCGAGAAAAAAAGAGGTTTAGGCTTATACCCCTCCACGTGCAACCCATCTGGACGCATGGATTCCATTTATTATTTGGATAAGAGGTAAAAATTTGGCTTTTTTATTTAAATAATATTTTTTAAAAAACAAATTATCAAATCACATGAGTTTCACCATAATTATTGGTAAATATTTTATTTTTAAATTTTAAAAAATAAATTTTGTCAAAAAAATATAAAACTTGTAAAATTATTGGCGAAACTTCATCTGGCGCAGGGAAATAACAGATGAAGTTTCAACAAGAAATCAATACAGCTTGAAGCATTACATTTACCTTAATTTGTCTTCTAATTGATATAAAAGACTGCCCTCTTCAAACTCAGACATTGGAAGATAAAAGAAAGCTATCTCATTCATCTACCTTTGTATTTCCTTAGACCCTTACGCTAGAAGCTCCACTCTACAACATTAATTTTTTTTTTTAAACAGTTTCGCCATTCATCTTGCGAAACTTTTTTTATTTTTTAAATAAATATTTTTTTAATTATAAAATTATAATAGTTTGACACATGTAAAAATTTTATAAGTTTCATATTTTTTGTGACAAAACTTATTTTAAAATATTAAAAAATTATGAATTTTTTATTTTTAGTGGCGAAATTTATTTTTTAAAATTTAAAAATAAAAGTTTCACCAATAATTATGGTAAAACTCACTACACGTGACTAAAATTACTTCAGACTGAAAAATAATTTTAAAAACGTTATAATTTGATAATTTATTTTTAAAAAAATATTATTTAAATAAAAAAGCCTAAAAATTTTCTGTTTAAAATAAAAAAGTATTTAAATAAACTTTTCATCCATTCATAATACTCATTTTTATAAGTTGAAATCACTTTTTATACACAAAATCGTTGCTAATTAAATTTATGTCCTTTTGTAAACTTGATAACGAAGTAACTTATCCCAGAAGTTGACCATCTCGCTGTAAAAAGAAAGCCAACGTAGCTGATAGTTAGTTGAATTTCTTATTTAGCATTTACGAAAAGAGGTTCAACTTTTATAAAATAAATATCATTTAATTGTTAACTTATTTTATATTCTTTTTGTGATATATATTAAATTTTACATAATTTATAATATACTATTTAAAATATAATATTTATTAAAATAAAATAATACAATGAAATCCTTATTAATTTTATATTTGTACAAATTTTATAAAATTAATCTATTTGGTAATAACTTTTAAATTTGTTAAATTTGTCAATCTCATATCTTATTAAGTTATGTACAAAAATTTGTTAAATTTGTTAACTTTTAATTACATCATTTTAGTTTTTAATTACTTCAAATTAGTTGTATTTATTAAGGAGAATTTGATTAAATTTGAAAGATAAAAAATATTTTTATTTTAACTTTTTAACATAACTTATATCTATTGTTTTGATAATATTTTGAGTTAAAGGTCTAATTATGAGGTAATTCATGTTTTATTGAAAAACTTTTTTCTTAGATTTTAATTTGATAGATAATTTTGTAGAAAAAAATTACAATTTTATTGGGTCTAATTTAGTCTATTAAAAATTTATTATGATTTGAATTTGCATTAATTAAAGTAGACTAAATTAAGGATTTCGAATTTCAATTTTTAGTATTAGTTTTTGTAGACATGGAAGACTAAACACTTGAGGATTAATTTCTCAATGTTTAATAATTAAAATTTAATGTTTTGTTCTTAATCAAATTTAAATATATTTCATTTCTTATTCTCAATTATGTTATTAATTTTTGTAATGTACATAATTTATGATATTTGAATTTCATTATTTCTTTTAAAACATAATTAACAATAATTTTTATTTATAGCCATGCTTAATTTTGTATGTTAGATTTATTGTGTAAAACAAATGAAATTCAATTGATTAAAATAAAATTAAATTAGGATCAAGAAATGTTTGATTGAGTAATCTGGATTAAATGAATAGTTCGTGTGATATTTATAATAAGAATTTTTTCTAATATAATTAATGCTTAATTAATCACTTAAATCAAACTAAGAGTGAAGAAAAATAGATTTAATAATTAATAATTTATGATAATTTTGTTATATTCAAATTTAATGTGTATAACATATGTGCATTCTTAATTAATATTAATCAATCAACTTTCAATCTTTATCAATTATTATTATTTCAAATTTAGTGTGTATATAATACTTAATTTAACAATCATTATCTCTTAGTTCACAAACTTGATTCCCTTATCTAGTAATGTATTATTTTTGCATAAGACATCGATCAAATTGGTGTAGTTACACACGACATTGGTATAACACGGTAAATTTAATTTTAAAATAATAAATTTCACAAAATAGGAATAAGAAAATTTTCATTTAAAATATACATTCCCACACAGAGTTTTATCAAAGTATTTCAAAATAATAAAAGTTTATAAATTCAGATTGAGTAACTGCTACAGAACTAATTCAAGTACATCATATTTTTAAAATAAATCTAAGCCCTATAGCAGTGTCATCTACTTCTTCACTGAGTCCGGTGTTGATCGTTTTGATTACCTAAAAAATAAATGTAAGGGTAAGTACTCTACACTATCCAACATACACTAATATAGAGACTCACCTTGCACAATTCACATGTTTTCTAACATTTTCTACTCAATTATAAACAATCATAATCAACACTTTCAAGCATTTCAAATCAATTCACAATCGGTGCGCTCACTGCACCAACAACATTTCACACACACACACACGTGCAATTACTGTACGTAGTTATGCTCACTGTGCCACTGTGATCACAATTTCACACCATGGATAGTCGTCGGTTACCCCGCCTCACGGATATCACGTGTGCGGTCACGAGTCGCTCGGCAAAAGTGTTAGTCAAAAGGAGAGTGTGTGGCTTATGGTGCACCCACGCTCACTGTTAGTGTCACCACCACTCTCTCTTCCCCAAGGTATTTCTATCGTCCTCATCTTCCACACTTCTAGTGTATCGCTGAACCATTCATAGCATATTTACAACCGCATGTAACATGCCCTTTCACACACATTTGAGCCACATACACTAGTCATATTTGCACACGGCATATAGGCCCACATTCATTCATAGCACACGGCACAGATGCCCACATTTATTTGCGTTACATTTAACGCACAACAATTCCATACACACAACATTTTCAACATAATCCACATTCATCAATTTATTCCATCATACACACTGTTCAACATTCATTACACTATACTCTATTCAATATTAATTCTATCAAACACATACATTCCAGACCATTCACATGACAATGCATAGCAATTTACATGGTATTCAAACACAATGAGATAGGATAGAGTCCCCCTTACCTCAAATTGAAGACTCACACACGAAATCAACCAAGAAAGTGCTCCCCACACGAATTTTGTCCTAAATACACAGAAGAATCCCATGAGAACCGAGAAAATAGATAAACCAAAACCCTAACCATTAAAACTTACCTCCAAACTTGCTTTCAACCTTCAATCTTACTCCTAAACAGCTTTAGAGGTAATTTAATCGGTGAAATAGAGTTTGCAATTGAGGGAATCACAGGAGAAGGAAGGGAAGGGAAATGTAAAATAACTCATTCCCTCGAACCCTAACCCTTCAAATACCCCTCTGGTTGCGACACTCTCGCTACAACGACACCCTCTATCGCTACAGCAAATATCTCAGAAGAAACTACACTCTGGTTTCTGCAGAATCTCGCTACAGCGAGACTGCATCCAGAAATGCACCATCCACTGTTGCCTTCTCGCTACAGCGAGAACGACACAGTTTCATGCTCTTTGCCCAAGACCTTTTCATTACAGCGAGAACACCCTGCAGCCCCCACACTTAGCCAAATTCCCAATCAACCAGACCAAATATTCCCAACCTATATACTTTATACTCGCATATTTATCCATATGCATTTATACACATCGTCACCACATGATTCAAACACACATACATCCTCATCAAACTCATCATGCACTCAAGTGCACATTTCAACATCCATTTACACACACATATATAATAATTAATATTATAAAATTTGAGGCATTACAATTGGTGCTGCTTCACTCACATTTTTGTTAATTTAGAGTGAAGCAATATAACTTAATTGTGCAGTTTAAGATATTTTGTTAATTTTAAAAATTTGTCATCGATTCTATTTTAAATTTGAAATTTAATCTATTCAAAATACAATGTAAAACAAAATATCTTAAATTGTAAAATTAACTTATATTACTTAAAGTCTTAAACTAATAAAAATGTGAGTGAAGCTTAGTTAAGGACTGATGTCTTTGACAAAGATGCCAATTTGATTAGGGAGAGAAGAGAAGGGTTTGAAGGGGAAAGGGAAAGAGGAAGGAGGGGAGGGGAAGGAAAGGGGAAAGATGTTAAACTTTTTTCTTATTTAGATGTTTAATATTAAGAGGAGAGGGTCATAAATTTTAAATATATAAATGATATTACTATATTTTATATTTATATTTATCTATTTTTACAAAAAAATAAAAAATAATTTGGTATCAATATTTTTATTGATAAATAATTTGTGATTATAATGTTAATATCTGCTGAAATATATTATCTAGAGTTTCAAATGAACACATGCCTCTCTTTTGTTTTAAAAGTTGAATAAATCTCTATGTTTGTGTATGTGCAGTTGCAAGTACAGCATGTTCAACATGAACATGATTAATTAATTATGCAAGGAGCTAACTTTGTCACGAGTCTTATGCCTAACATTTACGCGAGCAATCTTAGACGTGGATGCGAATAAAATTGAATATTTTAAATTAGATCAACCAACGGTTATAGTCGCCTTTTATGCATAAAATATGAGTATTAATTTATTAATGAAAATTAAGAAATTTTTTTAATGAAAGTGCTTTTAAGAATGATTTTTGTATATCATGCATTAATTTTATTAATTTAAATTTAAATTTAAATTTGAATGCTTTATTTTAATATAGTAGAATGCTTATTATTAATAATTATATATTTATTATTT